AACAAAAATCACTCCTGATAGAAAGGAGGGGTGGCATCTCCGCCTCCATCTATAAACAAGCAAGAATTAAGACAATTCTATGCAAAATTAATTGAATCTGGACCTTAGAGTTTGAAATGGGAGGGACATGAAAGAGGAAGCCTTGAAAATTTGAAACAGGCTTTAACCAGGGCTCCTGTATTGGGTTTGCCAAATTTGGAAAAGCCATTCGGTCTCTTTGTAGACACACACACACACACACACACACACACACACACACACACACAAATTGAATTGCACGAGGGGTGTTGGCTCAGAAAGTAGGAAATTAACCTTTGAGGGAGCCCTCATTGTAAGCACCCCACATCAAGTCAGAACTATCCTTCAGTGCTGGTTATCTGTTTCAAGATTCTAAACAAAAATGAAACAATTTTAATGTAGCAGACAGATTTGATTTTCCCTACATATCTCAATTTGAATCAAGCACAGTTCTTAACCAACACCAGATCAATGGATCACCTTGGATGAGAACATTATGGTGTTGAAATAATTGGTTTCCATACAAAAATAAGACCAGATTTGGAAGGACACCCCCTGGAGACAAATTGCCTCGAAATTGGTCTGCTCAAACCTTTGAATTGTATTCATTAAATTAAGCTCTATGGACAGGGAGCCTGGATAGCTCAGTAGACAAATGCATTGTAATTTAACACTAGCTGTCTGCAATTACTGTAAATTCAAATCTCACCAGGCTCAAGGTTGACTCAGCCTTCCATCCTTCCTAAGGTAGGTGAATTGAGGACCCAGTGTGTGGGGGGCAATAAGCTGACTTTTTGACGGCTATTGCTTAATGCATTGTAACCCTTAGTCTCTGGACATCATTTGGCAAAATATGGGTGGAGTCATTGGGGACTTCAAGCTATTGTACATGAACTTTTAAACTAAGCTATGGTTGTATTGGGATATATCCTTTAGTAACATCAATTATAAACAAAAGTTTGGTTTGTAAAAAGGTGAATGAACATGCTGTCAGAAAACAACAGATGGGTAAGATGTATCACCAGCTTTAACATCATTTCAATGTATTCATGTGGATTTTACAGAATTACTAAAAGTGGGGAGTGTAAAATATTTATTAGTCATAGTGAACCACCTCATAGGGTGGGTTGCAGCTTTTATCTGCAGTAATGCTACAGCAACAGTGGTGTCAAGAGTTTTACCCAACCTAGACAGATTATCATCATATGAACTGTTGTTTGGAGTAGTTTTCACTACAGGAAGCATATGCATTAATTCCCTGGAAACCAGTGACAAAGTATTGAAACAATATGTGTATAACCTGTCCAGATATTTTGAAGTTTTTAGGAAACAAGGACTATTAGCCCAAACACCACCTTTGAAGTTTCCAGTCCACAAATTCCACCACGATGATTGGATGTTAATCCAAACTGGACGGAAGTTAGACCCCAAGTGAACGGGCCCAATCTCATCAAGGAAATCCATTGAAGTTGATGATCCAAAGGATCCAGCCACCAGTGGGAATAGTGTTCTTCATCATCTGGACTATTTTTGTATTTTTTCTTTCTTAGGATTCAGTGGTTGCCTATGCTGTTTCCCAACTGAAAAGGACTACAACTGCTCAGATTCCTTTGCGGACTCGCCCAGATGTATTGGTTTTGTAATTGTGTTTTTAAGATCTTAGAAGGACGATCCTGGATCCACTGGATGAGACTGATACCAGGTGATCATCAGCCCTGCTGAATCACTCCGGAAGCTGATTCTCAACGCACGGCGGAAGATTTGTAAAGAGGACAACTGCCTTCACATTGTACATATACATATTATTAGCTTTAATATAACTCTTTCTTACACATGCTAATGTTATTACAAGTTTGGGACTACGTTTTGTGGGTACTTGTTTTTCTAATCTTGCTAGTAATTTTGTTTTATATATATATAAGGAACGGTTTTGTGGTAGACCTAGGATTTTTATTGCTACTCCTGTTTCCCAAACCACATGCACCACTAACCCTTTCCCTGACGAAGTGAGCTTCACACCATGGTTGATTATGATTTGTTTATGGCTTTGGACATTATTCGCACTAGGACTCTCAAGTGAACATAAGATGAACATTGATTCCCCAAGTAGAGACACTTTAGGTCAAGTTCGCTACCGCCAAAAACGCATTGTCTATGCACGGGGTTCTTACTTTAGACCTAAGTCAACTCCACCACCTAAGGTTGCACTATTGACATTCCCAGCTGAGGGGGGAATAGATAAGGAAAATGGGCCTTTGCAACAATTACATAGAGGAGATTATATATCACGGATTCTGGAATAAAGTCAAGATCTTGTTAAAACAGTATGACCCTACCCTAGGTCAGAAATGCTGCTTATGTTTTATCTGCTAGCCCTGCATCTTATCATGCTGTTCCTGTCAAACCACAACTCTGGGTTAGAACAAAGGCTACCAGAAATAAACTTTAAGAAGGGAAAGAGGGGTGGATGGAATCTGTCCAAGACCATTTCAACCTTCAGAATTTCTGCTCTGGTTCAACTTGAAGTCCAAATCAGATTTGTGTATCCTTTTTCCACCTGGAAATACTACCCCTCGATATGTTTTTTTGAAGGACCAATTCTCAGAGATAAACAGAAGGACCCCTCACTGGAAGTCCCATTGCAACCACTGGCAGGAATGTTTGTGGCAGGGACTTAGGGGTCTGGACTAAGGCAAGGAACTACTGAGTGCATGCCTTTTCCATAAAACTTCTTATGTGGAAAGGATGCATATTTGTGTTTACCAACAAACTGGACAGGAACATGTAACGAATCAGGTGTGGTCAGAGAAATTGCCAAGGAATTGCAGGATAGGGCTTCCAAGATAGGTCAGAGGTTATAAACAACTGACATGTGGTTTTCTTGGTTGCCTGGATCCGGGTGGATTAATATGGCTGTGGCAGGCCTAGCTTTTATTCCTTGTGCAATCCCTATGCTAAAACATCTATCAATAAGAGCAGTAAAGGAGATTCAAGTTGAAAAGGAACTAGCTTTGATAGAACATTTTCTTAATCAACTTGGTCCCTATCCTATGGAAGAACATAAAGATTCTGAGGCAGACCCATATGAGAAAATGGAACCTGTAGAAAGAGGTAGAGAATCTCCCCAAGAATCAAGAGAGTTAAAAAAAAAACAATAACAAAAAACAATCCTTCCTATCCTTTATTTTATTATCTTTTGTTAGACCCTATATATGGTAGATTTGTTTATTGGAACCTTGTATACTCAGAAGTTAAACTTATATGAGAATAGTGAAAGTTTCTGCATTGAAAAACTTTCAGAGGGGGGGAATAATGTAATGAAGCGGGCTGTGATAGATGACCACTGGATAACTTTCTATTCACTCTATTCTAAAAAGCAATGCATCCGGTTGGAAAAAGTACAAACTCAGCCAAAATCCTTTTGGTTCCTCTAGGAGGCCTCTAAGTTGTCAGAAGAAAGGAACATTCTAATGACATACAGCTTAAAGGTTGGTTAGGTCAAGGGGATCCACATGAGTTAAAAGTTGTCCATCGTCAAAAGATGATTTGAATCTATGCTTCAGTAATCTACAAAAAGAATTATAACTGTTTGCAAAGAAACTCTGTAATTAGGAAATGTCAATTAAAAATGATAAATGTATATGACCATATGAATTGCTGAGTTAACAGAATCCTTTGTCTAGAAGGGTATAAAACCATTGTACCTAATTTCCGTCTTTGTTCAACGCTTCATGTACAGAGCCTTGAACCTATTGCGCAATATATAAAATCTGTCTCTGATTAATCTAAAAGTTGTGTTTGTCTTATTAAATCCACAACAAGCAGGTATATACAAAAGTATGAAGGCTATTGCTTAACCCATTGTAAGCCGCCCTGAGTCTCCGGAGAAAGGCAGCATATAAATCGAACCAATAAATAAATAAAAGTGCTTTTCCAAGAGGACAGCAGCAGGACTTTCTTGGGGTTTTCTTTGAAAACGTTTCACTTTCATCCAAGAAGCTTCTTCAGTTGAACAGAGAAGGAAGGGGGAGGGAGGAACGGAGGGGAAGTAAACGAAGGAGGGAAGGAATGAACTTTGGGAATCGCTGGCAGTTTTGATCCTTTGGATCCGTCTGCAGCCAGATATCTTCCAATTCATTTGGAAGATTTTCTGCTTGTTCAAAAGTGGCACTGGCTAGAGATCAGGAGGTCTTCCCCCAGGAAACAGTGGAGGATTCTGTTTTACTTCATTCTGATGTTTCTCTGATTAGCTCTTGCCTGATAGCTTTATGCTACATCTGAGCCCAATCCATCAACGTTTGTCAGAAACAAGGCAAGGCTTGATTTTAAATTCATATGGGGGGGGTCTCACAGAGTGAGGGCAACCTGCCTAGAACTGGGCTGTTAAGACACATGCGGGGTGTTTTGTAACAGTGAGGAGCATAATGAAATGCCCACAATTTGGCTTGCAAATTGAATTTTGCAGAGGCACCTCTGCTGACAGTCCAGTGACTGAGATCAAGTATCCTGAAGGCCAAATCACAGCTGGCCTTTTTATTAAAATGAGAGCGCACTGATGCTGTTACCTAGTTGGATAATTAAACGTCTGCAAGAAAACAAACTTCAGAGAGCACCAGGGACACTCAGAGAAGAGAGAAAGATGCATCTTAATCACTGTATTTATTTTAAACACCATTTAAAACAATGATTTAAAACTTATTTTTTGGACTTTCCAAATTGAAACACCAGTTTCAATATATTACAATATTACTGAATAAACGAAACACACATCAAAACTGCTTTGTGACGCATTTCATATATGAACTGCGTGCCTGAGAAAGACCAATGTTTATAATGTTATCTGTCTAATCAAGCAGGATATGGATTTTCATTCACAGCTCCACACCCTGAATGCTGAATCATAAGAGTTCAGAAGGGCACATGTAAACCTATATCTGTGCACACATGCAATGTTTTAAACAGTCCACCATCAGGAGATTCCTCAGCATGGCTTGCCCCAAAAGGAACCGAGCTGTGATCATTGTCAATCATCAGTTCCTTCAAGCCAAAGGACTTAGACCAAGAGTGGGGGCCAGAAGGGAAGCAGACAAGCTTTTTAGAGCACTTTCCAAGTGCAATTATGATGTGAAATTGTTTCTGGATTTGACAGCCAAAGAAATAGAAGAAGTGTATGAGAAAGGTATGTTTGGGTTGAAGGCAACTAAGATGCTCAAAAAGGTACGCCTGAAAGTCTTCCATGGAAGTGTTGAAAAGGTTGGAGGAGCCTCCAAAATTTTGTTCTACTGTTCATCAGAAAAGTCTGAGCGGCAGGGAAGAGAAGAATGGAGAGGACTTAAGACTAAATGGACAGTGGGATTATATAGTTAGGTTGTACATAATCCCGTTGATTATGATAGGATATAAAAATATATGATTTTTTTGTCATCTTTACTGGGTCTTTGCTGATGAATGATGATGATGATTGAGAGGCAAGTTTATAGAAAATGGGCTGAGGCATGGAAGGAAGTGAGGTATGGTTGTATTTTAAGAGACAGTGATAAGTTGTCAATGATGAATATTGTTGTTTGGGATGAAGGGGAAAGTTTCTTTTTCTTATTATTTTTGAGGAGAGATATTTTCCCCCACAAAAAAAACCACTGCATACATACACACAGTACATATGAAAATGTACTGTGTGTATGTATGCAGTGGTTTTTTTGTATTACCCTTATCAGTCTAAATGTCTATGGGAAATCTCAATCATTCAGGTCATGATTGTCCCAAAAGTGCTTTTTCAAGAGGCAACCAGAGTTTCTTTGTTTTTCCTTGAAGATGTTTCACTTCTCATCCAAGAAGTTTCAGTCAGAACTGAAGAAGCTTCTTGGATGAGAAGCGAAACATCTTCAAGGAAAAACTAAGAAAGTTTGATTGCCTCTTGAAAAAGTACTTTTGGGACTTGATGTGTTTACTGTAATCCTTAACCACATTATAAGAAAAAGAGAGAGAAATGTCTGATGTGCAGGGGCATTCAGAAAGTTGGAGGATTGGATTTTATAGTTTTACCCACCCTCTGGACTGTTTTGATCCGCTTTATAGATGCCCCTAACTCTAGAGAGCGAGCCTGAGACCTGGATGGGCATCTGAGAGTGTAACATTTAGCCAAACATTAAGAGAGTGAGACCTAGTTAGAAGAATGCCTTGGAAGATACCCATTGTTGCTGAGCAGCCATGGGTTTAGGGATACTAGTTAGCTGCAATGTCACTACAGATCCCTGAAGGTCCCTTTCCATCACTAAAATAGTAGATGACTTGATGCAGAGCATGGAATAATAGGGTTGAAAGAGACCTTGGAGGTCTTCTAGTCCACCCCCCTGCTCAAACATGTTTCTGCTGGAGATTATGTCATTTTGGGCACCTATGAGCAATTGTTGAACAATGAGAAGGTGAAGAGCATTCAAACAGTCCCTCTTTCCATTTCTCATCTGATCTCTTGTTAAAAGAGTCTCTGCGTTTCAACAAAAAAAAAAAACACCAAAAAGAAAGTATTTCTCTCTCTCTCATGCTTCCTGCCAAGATGTAACAGGAATAGAAGATATACAATAAGAAATCTAGCTTTCACTTCAAAGATAGGTCTGCTCTACATCCGACAACAATTCTATTCTGAGCACTTTATACATTTTAATGGGAGTTTCTGGTCCTTGTTTACTCAGTATTCTTTTAGCACTTTGCATATGTTCTGGAGCACATTCTCCAACAATAGGTCCTGTTGAATTCAGTTGGCCAGCTGTGGTGCCCTGCTGCTTTAGAGATACATATAGATGGATGTGGAAATGCAAGGCTGATTTATGGGAATTAGGCTGACAGATTGGAGCAGCATTTATCAGCCTCAGCAACTTTAAGATGGGTGGATTTCAACCCTCAGAATTCCCTAGTCAGCATGCAGCTGGGGAATTCTGGAAGCTGAATTAAAAGTTGCTGAGGTTGAGAAATGCTGAACTGGAGAGATGATCTTCAAACAATTCAACGGTCTTCTAGAAACATCATCAGGAGAGCCTGCCTAGCTTCTGAACTTAAAACAGGTGACACCACGGAAGTATAGTTGCAGTGGTTTTGTGGCTGGGATTCTGTGGTATGCAAATCAGCAAAGAGCACAGGAGATCAGATGAAACAGATCCAGGATGTATTCTTTAAAACCCAGGATTTGATTAGGCTCCACATTGGAACTGCGAACTAAATTTCCCATTTACTAACATTGCACAATTCATTGAAGCAGAAACAGAGTGTGGCCTACATTTACAAATGCATAATTCTATTCAAGATTAAAACTAACCAGGTTTAGAATGTCACAGATATGAGACAATTACATTGTTGCATGAATATAGGGGAGGGGGGGTTGCATTGAAGTATCTATAGCAGGACTATTAGATTCTGTAACAGCTTTGTCCTTATGCCATCAGTCATGTAAACTTGCAGAATTTTTTTTTGTCATGTATATGTTATACATTTGAATTAGACCAGTGTTTCTCAACCTTGGTAGCTTTAAGATGGGTGGACTTCAACTCCCAGAATCCCCCAGCCAGCACCATTTCATTCTCTGTTTTCTATTATTTTCTCTCTCCTCTCCTCATTTACATCTATTTGCAGTGTTCCACAGTCACACGACCCATTTTAAAAGGGTTTGCACTTCTGGCTTTTGGCAAAACCATGCCCCCCCCCGGTTAATTATTGGTTTGCTTCATGACCATGGCTTTTGCTTAACATCCACTTCAAAAAAAGATCATAAAGTCAGGTTGGTCACATAAACAGCCATTCTGTAACCATCTTGACAGACTATCATAATGAGCAAACTCGATTATGGTCCTATGCAGGGGTGGATTCTACTTACCTTTACTACGGGTTCGCGCACATGTCTTGCTTCTGCGCATGCGCAGATCGCAGATCACATCTGGGGCGGTGGGCAGGGCCTCCTGCCGGTTTTACTACTGATTCTTGCGAATCAGTCCGAACCGGAGGCAACCCACCAGTGGTCCTATGTGTCATCATTGTTTAATAAGTTGGATTTACAGGTAGTCCTCAACTTGCAACAATTCATTTAGTGACCGTTTGAAGTTGCAATGGCACTGAAGTGTGACTTGTGACCATTTTTCACACTTATGACCTTTGTAGTATCTCCATGGTAACATGATTTATATTTGGATGCTTGACAACTGACTCATATTTATGACGGTTGCAGTGTCCCGGGGTCACGTGATCACCTTTTGAGACCTTCTGACAAGCAAAGTCAGATTCACTCAACAATCATGTTGCTAATTTAACAACTGCAGTGATTCACTTAACAAATGTGGCAAGAGAAGTCATAAAATAGGTCAAAACTCACTTAACGAATTTCTCACTTAGCAACATAATTTTTGGGGTCAATTGTGGTCATAAGATGAGGACTCCATGTATTCCCACTTACAGGAACACAGGGCAACCTATATAGCCTTCCCTCCTCCAGTTTTACCCCACAATAGTCATGTGTCATAGGTTGGGCTGAGAATGATTGGCTTCAAATCCCCCAGGGACCTCCTATGGCTGAGACTAAACATGAACCATAGACCAGGGGTCTCCAACCTTGGCAACTTTAAGCCTGGCAGACTTCAACTCCCAGAATTCCCCAGCCAGCTGGCTAGGGAATTCTGGGAGTTGAAGTCCGCCAGGCTTAAAGTTGCCAAGGTTGGAGTCCCCTGCCTTAGATAATGCTCCCCCAATGTACTTTTAGTGCTCATTAGGAATGTGCTTCAAGATGGATTAGGTGCTTTTTTGTATATTTGATTGAGAGGCAAGCTCTGCATTTGAATCACTAGACACTTCAAAAAAAAAAAAACAAAAAAAAAAACACCTTAGTATCTATCCTTTCCTTAAATTTTGTCTTTGCAGAAAGCCAGGCAGAACATGGGAAATGTTTTGTGAGCATCCTCTCAAGCCACGGAGAAGAAGGCAGCATAATGGATTGCCAAGGACAAGCATTAAATCTAACTTGCATTTATAAGATCTTATCTCCTGAAAGGTGTCCACATTTGGCAGGAAAACCTAAAATCTTCTTCATACAGGTAAGAGCTGTGCAGTTCTGGGTCAAACAGAAGCAGTGAAGAATGGGAAATTCTATCAGTCTTTTTTATCCTATAGGACAGGGGTCTCCAACCTTGGCAAAACACAGCCTTGCAATAATTTCAAGACCACTATGAAATCTTAGAACATAGTCTTCCTTTGCATGTGTCTTTTTGTTTGCATGTATTTGAGATTAATAGGGAAATAACCTCAATGAGATTAATAGATACTAGAAAACTTTGACTTCATGATCCTAGGCTATCATTTTCAGAGTCCAAAGGTAGAATTTCCAAGTTATGCAACCAAAAGCTGGCAACCTTCTCTATATGAACATGAGTTCTGGGTTTGCGAACAGGGTTTGCCCTCCGCAATATGTACAGAAGCAATAGAAACCCTCTTAAAAAAACAAATGACTCATTCAGGAAATGTTTTTGATGCCATATCTAGCATACTTGCATGACTCTGATGTCAAAAGATAAAGCAAAGGTATTTCTAATTCTCCTTAAGCAGCATCACAAAAACTACTGTTCTATATTAGTTTTATTGCATTTCCTGGATACTTTTACAGCCGGCATAAAGTTCAGACTTCGATTCAGTTATACTGATATTTTTTCCAAAGGCAAATATGAGTTGTGCAAATCTATGCAAGAGAAGAAAGGATGAAATCCATTTTTGTTGCCTGGGCAAGCCCCTAATTCCCCAGTCCTCCAGTTAATGCTATTTCATTTATTTATTTATTTTTTAAAAAGCATGCAAGTATAATGCAAACAGTTAACCTCATTCCTTCAGTTTAGCCCAGTGATGGCTAATCTTTTCTGGACTGAGTGCCCATAGCACACACGTGTGTACGAAACCCCAAATGCAATGCACAAATGGCCCCTTGCATATGCCCCGCCCACTGCACATACACAACCCCCCGCATGCACCATACCCCTACCACACATGTGCCCTGGCCCCCATACATGCACAGCAGATATCTGAAGACCAGTGGGGGGCGTGCACGCATACACGACAGAGCTGAGCTGGGGCAACGGCTCGCATGCCCAGAGAGGGTGCTGTGTGCCACCTCTGGCACACATGCCATAGATTCGTCATCACGGGCAGTGGTGGGTTGCTACAGGTTCGTCCCGGTTTGGGCGAACCGGTAGCAGCGGCGGTGGCAGGAGGCTCTGCCCACCTGCCTGGACATCTCTGTGCATGCGTCGAAGCTTCTGCACATGCACAGAAGCATCACACACGCACGCACGCCGGAAGCGAATGAAATTGAAACCCACTACTGATCACGGGGTTAGTCCATTCAGATGAAAATGGCAAAGGAGTCACCTCTCACTCATGGTCTAGATAGAATAAGTCACAAGAAAATCTGAAGTGACTCCCCAGGGTGTGGATCCAGCAAACAAAGAGCTATGTACAAAGGCTATTTAGCAGCTGTTGCCTTCCATGTGTTTTTCAGGCATGCCGTGGAAACAGATTTGATGATGGCATCTACCTAGAAACAGATAGCAGAGCACCAGAGGAAGACTGTTTCTCACATTACCTGTCTATTCCCGAAAATACTGCTGTCATGTTTTCTTGCAGCCCAGGTATATCAATCTAACCACCTAAACCTAGCCTAGGTCAAGTTTGCAGCAAAGGTCATCAGATACCTCAAAATAAATGCACAGGATTGGGTAGAATTACTCATTTGGGAATTTGAAAAATAAAAAAATCCTCAGCCAGCGAACAATTGGTTTGAGTCTTAATAAGGGCACTCGGCCAAGAGAACCATAATTACAGATGGATGCCAGTCCATCACAACCTATAATCTAATGTAACCATGGGGTCTTATCATTCAATGCTACGATCAGGGAGGGCAGAAATCAGCAAAAATGCATACAGTAGCTTGAACAGATACTTATGAAGAGGTGAACAGTGAAAATCTGGAATTTTAGAAGCAACCCATTCCTTTCCAGATTTTTCCCATCATTCCCTGTGTAGGGCTGATCTTGTCATGATTAAAGGACAAAAGAAGAATCAACTAGGATGATATGCTAAGAACATTTCACAGTTGTTCTTTACAGAGAAGAGTTGTATTTTTGGAAGATGACAATCTGTACTTTGATTTTTAGGTTTCTGGAGAATCGTTGCAATCCTTCCACTGAAAATAGAACAACACTTTTGATTTAGAGCCAGTTTTATTATTTCTCCCAGCCACTGTTAAAGGGATACAAAGCTTGCCTGTGCCATTATTACTTTGTCTTAACAATGATTGGATGGCTCTTTCAGTCATGATCAAAGCATACATGATATAAACACAACAGGCCTCTAATTCTGGCCACAGAGAAAGTCCCTATTTGCACGGCAATTAGTTTCCCATGTAATGTGCACTTTATCCTTTCCTGGCTCTTGAGATACGGCACATACTGGCAGGAGATGTGTGTTCAGATTTTACTAGACTTTTCTAACATGTTTCTTTAGTGTAGAAAAGTCCCGTTGGACTTTTGGCATCTCATCTTTTTCTTTCTCTTTCTCAATTGCTCAGGCTATGTTTCCTTCAGCAATCGGTGGGAATCCATGTTTCTCAAAGCATTACTGGAAGTGCTAGAAGGAGAGGAAAGAAAACTGAAAATCACCAAACTCATGACTTGGATTAACTGGAAGGTTGCTTTTTTTTGTGAAGCAAAAGGAACTGAATATAAGGGCAAAAAAGAGATGCCTTGCTTTGTTACAAACATGGTGGAGGAGGTTTACCCTTTCAAACAAGATAGGGAATGCTCGGATTAACCAGATCACTCCAAACCTACAAATACAACTCAGTCGCAGTTTGATTTTTCACTTGCTGCATTTTGATCCAGCCAATTATAATTTATTCAACCAGTCAGTTACAGAAGTCATAATTTATTGTCTGAACGTGTCCACTCGTACCAAGCTAGGACAGAAACACTCTTACAGGAAATAAAAATGAGTCATAATAGCAGCATGGATATTACGCAACACTTCACCTTTGAAGGGAAAAAGTGGAGTGCTGTGTGTGTTTGTGTGTAAGCAGTTCCTTAAAGCTATGGCTTTTTTTGCCAGTATCTGTGACAATGCTAGGAAAAGGTGTGTTGGTTGAAGTTGTCAACAGATGCTATGTGTTCTCCCCTGCATTTTTCCCCCTTTGGATCCAATGCTTTGAGCAATGCATTTGCAGCAAAAATGGAACAGAATGTGTCCATGTTGCCCACGGTTTGACTGAAGAGTGAAATGCAAATTCTTGAAATAAATTAAGTATAACAGCAGATTGTGAAAATCAAGAAGGGGGATGCATAACATGTCGACGTGGGTCTCTCTGAAGATACATGTAATGTCAAATTACATTTAATAACTGCTCAAAAAGTTACAACGAACTTTAAGAAAGCTACTTATGACGCATCCTCTAAGTTATGACTGCTGCCCCTCCATGTCACATGATCACATTTCTGACGAGTTGCAGAGTTCCAGTCAGGAATGCAATTTACAATGTTTTTATGGGTTCCAGCAAAAAATCCTGCTATTTAGGAGAATGGATTCACTTAAACACAATTCACTTTATGACCATGACAATTTTAAGACCATTGTAAAAATGGACATGAAATTGAGTCTAGTTGTGGTTCCTTGACTCATGACAATGATTGACAAACAAAATTATAGGCTTCACTGTGTTCCTGAGTCGAGGGCTACCTGCATGGGTGGATTGCTACATAGGCCTTGAAATTCAAGGTTCCTTTTTGGGCCATAATGTACATTTGGAAGATGGAGAGATGGGGTTGCACAGCCGCTTAATGTACCTTCTATGCATGCTGCCTAAAGTTGCTTTGCGACTGGGCAGCCTTAGAAACCAAATGAATGGATGGAATGTTTTGTTTTCTTAAAAAAAGACAACGACACTGTTATAAGCAATATGCAACAGATACGTAAAGAAGTTAGACACAATTCTAAAGAATCAGGGGTATAACAAAAACAAAGTAAATTGCTAACATAGTCATATGGCATGAATGGCATCAGGAAATAATATTTTCCCTTTATCTTGTTATTTGCTCTGCTTAGTAAGTCAGGCAAGAAAAGAAAATAGGTTTTGAATAACAAAACCTATGCTAAATCCTTTTCCTTCACTGCATTTAAGTCCATGTCTAGCTTCACCTCTGTTCATCTTCATCATGTGTTTCTCTTCTTCCATAAGCCAGAGGCCTGCATGACTTTCCTATTAAAAGGGAATACCCAAAAAAGTTAAGATCCCTTTTTGACTGTCAAGTGCCAAAAGTAGGACTGAGGGTGTGGATTCTTCACTAGAAGCATTACATTTATCAAATCGGGGTACTTTCCCCATGCCTTCGCATTCCATGACGCCCATGAACAGAAGAGGGGAAGGCTATGCATTGCCCCCTCCCCCATTTCAGCCTGATAGGAGCAGTTTTCCAAAGAAGATGGTCACACAGGGAAAACATGGAATTCAATGGGAAGATTATGCTTTGGAGAAAAGGTAACAGTTAACAGTCCTAGAATAGTCCAAGATTCAAGTCTCTGAACAGCCAGGCAGCCTCTTGTAAGAGTTTGAGCTGACTTTCCTTCAAAGAATCCTTTTATGAATATGTAAGGTTGAACAGGAAGAGAGACCTTCCTTACCTACAAGGTTGAAAAGGGGGAAAGGAAGAGTTGTTGAATGCCATCCTGGGCATCTTGCTAGGATAGGATTACTGTAATATATACATTGCTTACTTCTACTGTCTTCTACATTGTACTCTTACACCCTGTTTTTATCAACGGTGGCTCAGTGAATACAGCAACATTCCCCTTGAGTGCCTCTGAGTAGGAAGCTCTAAGTTGGATCAATAGCAACAAGAGACAATGTGGAGCCTATTACAAGCACACCCAGCAGATACTGATGACACTATCTTTTGACCACAAAAGGAATGGTGGTGTAGCCATTTATTATTTGTTCACTAAGATTACAAAGATTAAAAAATAAATCTGAACATTTAAGGTATTTTTTTTAAAAGCTGGCCAATTCCAAAAAACACACATACTTCTGGTTTCAAACAGGGAAGAGAGCTGATTTCGACATTTGGAAGAGAACAATCCAGCAATGAAACTCAACTGAACTGATTAAAAAAAAAAATTATAACCTGAATATAAAAGAATATGAAGCAAGCTATTTAAACTTGAACCTCATGCCTAAAATCAAAATGCCACAAAATTTATTAGGTTCTAACAACTCCTTCATAACTAAGAAAATGGCAAAACTTTTCATGTCATGCACGACAGAAGTCATCCACCTGTGTCACAACTTCGATCCAAAGTTTCTATTGCACTCCAGAAAATTATATTTTATGTTAGGATTGACAGTCATGTGCTAGTTCCAAGGTAAGAAAGGCCATTTTATGGCCTGGAAATGTCCCACTACTGATCACCTGACTTTTTGTCATTTGTAAGGTTACACATTAATCACATACAAAAGCTGGCAGCTGGGTTTCCAAAGATACCAATGGACTTCCCCTATTTACGTCATTTAAAGGACACCCAACCCTAAGGTGATTTTCCTGACTTAAATCTATTCAGAGCCAGAATGAGGTTGCACACCAAACTGCTGGATGATAGAAGAGGATCAGTTTGACTACTTCTCTGTAATTCTAACTACTTAAACTTTGAGTTCCAAACAGCTGGTAAGAAATTGCCCCAAAATTTTTGGGGTGGGGTGGAGACATTTCTATCAGCAGGAAGTATTTTATACAGAAATGCTTTGGCTTACCTCAACAGATAAAGCTTAACTGACTGTCTCATTCTGTGACCACCCGCAGAAGTTAAGGAACAAAAGTGCACTAAGATTCTTCCAGGTGGACAGGGGACCCAGATTGAATGTCCTATCCTTTGATGAAGGCTAAAAGCAACGTGGCTTCTCACCAAGGGTGATATTAAGCCCACTAAATGAAAGTGGAAACTAAAATCAAAGTAATCCTCAAACAGACCTTAAGTTTAGCTTTCTCGTGCCATTCAGAACATCAACTTAAAAAATATGACGGCCACAGGACAAATTCAAGCTAGCAACGATGTGAAAAAGCTGCTTCACATTACAGGACTACCTATGCAATTATAGAAACACCAGTGCTGAGTTCAGATTGGGGAGGGGGGATATACGCACACCTACTCTTCAACTGCCATCTTCTGCCACCTCTCTATAAATGGTGCCATTGATCTATTCCTATTTTTGTGGAATGGGCCAATGAAATGGCTATGGGTGGAATGGGCCAATGAAAGATTTACCCAAGCAGTTCCTTTCTTGGATTGAAAAGTGAGTGGCTGTCTCCTGCCAGATGGTAGACTTTGATTCTGAATAGATCCTATTGCCATTGGGTAGTTTGTGCAATTTACAATGGATTACAACGGCCCCAACCTTCTGAGGTCAATCATGGGAATGTGGCGGTAAGGATCGGAAAGATCTTAATTCATGAAGAATGTTTGAATTAGGCATTCAGAGCATGGTGGGGTGACAAATACTGAAGTCAACGTTTCTTCAAATGTTTACCCGCAGTTTTAGCATCAGAAAAGGAGCAACTGATCTAAGTGATCAACCCAAGACTTGGCCCATATTAAGCCAAACATTAAAACTCAGGTATTTCACAAACATTGACACTTAAGATAGGAAGTACAGGATATTCACTTCTCAATATTGCCGTCTAAGACAGGAGATGCTCAACCAGTGCATCAGGCAATACGTGCCTCAGCGGAAGAGGGCACTTTAGGAACAAGAATCAATCTTCATAAACTCTGCTCCAAGCTCACAATGTTGACTATGATTCTAACATCCAGAATCGAGGGGACAAAGTCAGCCTGCTCATTTAACGTTCCTTAGGATCAATTTCACAGATAGTAAGTACCGCATCATTTAGAGGAAAGTCACAGAGCCACTGTCTAGTGATTGGTTCTTCGTCACAATGCAGGAGAAAAACAGGAAAAATGCAGGAAAATAATTGAAAGGGGAATTAACAGTCCAGGGCTTTGAAAGAGGGAACGAGGCATGGCAATGGGCAAAGTGCATGTGCACAATTAAAAGCACTTACGTTCCCCCCACCCCCCCGATGGGCACAATAACACAGCCAACAGGCTCTGAGGCTGTACTGACAAAAGGCTGGACATCGCCCGTATTTCTATGTGCCGTTTTCAAAACGAGTCCTCATGCAACACAAGAGCGTGCAGAAAGGTCTGGGTTTAGATCTGCGAAGAAGAAAAACAAAGAATACGTAAATCGCTTGGCAAGTTCAGACCACAGGTGTTGAAATTGTATTCCTTGGCATTGAAAAACCAATGGGAAGAAAATGGTCCTTCCTAACTGCATATAGGTTAAGAAAGACCATTTTCATTGGTTTTTCATACAGGTGGTCCTCATTCAACGACCAAAAGTTACAATAGATTAAAAAAGGCTATTTATGACCTGTCCTCTGCCACAACCCTCCCGTGGTCACATTCATGCACCTGGCTACCAGTCTGCATTTATGACCATTTGCGGTGCTCAAAAAATGCCCATTGGATAAGCTGGATTTGCTTAACGACCATGTGGTTTGCTTAAGAACCATGTTTACGACTGTCATAAATTGAGCTTAGTCACATGGTACCTCAATTTATAACCCTAATGACTTAAGACCAAAATTCCGGGCTCCATTGTGGTTGTAAGTTGAGGACTACTTGTGCTACATTGATGATGACACAGGAGCATGACAGATCTTGTGTTCCCACCAATGAAAGCAGATTTTGGATGAGTTTGAAATATCTCTATTAATTACAACAACTAGAAAGAAAGGAAGAATTATTTTATTACAAAGATTTGACGGTTTGTTTGTTTTTTTAAACTCGAAGGCAATGCTTTGTCTTTTTGAAGCTTTAAACTTAACTCTTCTGTATGAGCCAATAAGCTAAGTTCCAAAGCACATACCCAATGCTTATTTCTTCTGACTATAAATCTAGGCTTGTAGATTCCAACCAGGAATAAAGTACCAAACAGTGAAAGCAAAACCCAAGGCAATATCATCAGAAACATGGATTAGAAAAGTGCATGAATGCTGTAACGTATGTCTAATTCATGGGTGTCCAACCTTGGCAGGGTAACCTTAAAACTTGTGGACTTCAACTCCCAGAATTCCCCAACCAGTCATGCTGGCTGGCTGGGGAATTCTGAGAGTTGAAGTCCACAGGTCTTGAAACTTAAGAAGGTTGGACACTGCTGATCTAAATGGAAGTATAATGATGTACATATTTTCATTGTAAGCAGCTGTGAGAAGTGATTGTGGCTTTAAAGAAAATTAAAAAAAATCAAACCATAAATTCGGCTGTTTTGATGCTCATGGCAGAAGACCTTACCTTTTGATCCAGTCGCTGATAGTCGCTGGATTTGGGCCTTCGGGTTATCTTTGATTTTTTTCCTTCTAGAGCAAAAGCAATAATCTTTGCAAGGGGAGAAAAGAGAATCAATAAGTGTGCCACGGCAAGAATCTGAACCATCACACTATAATTTCTCATTAAGGTGAGCAAATCAGCTTGTCACAACTATTAGACTAGAAAAATGCACATTATTTCATCAGAGCCTTAAAAAGAAAGATGGCACAGATAGTACCATATATTAAAACCTGTAAAATAGCAACAGTTAGGTCTCACCAAAGGGGGAAAAACCGAATCTCACTTAGAAAGTAAGACATTATTCAAAATCATAACCCATCAAGTAATCCAGAGAATATAGAATATTCATAATAGGAATGTTGCTTGAAACAGCTTCTCTACAGCCAATAGACCAATTTACATCTTTTCTAAGGTAAGAAAAATGAACAACAGCTTGCAGCATGTATCAGTCCAAAGGAACATATTTTAAAATACCTAGCTTTTTAGAAGTTTTACATAGCATCAGGGTGGATTTGATTTAAATCGAGTTGATTTAAATCACAATTTAAATCATGATTTAAATCACTAGTAAAAAGGCTTGATTTAAATCAACTCAATTTAAATCATAATTTTTAAAGAGCAACTGTCATCTCTGCTACTCCTTTGACCCACTGTTGACTCACAGTTAGTCCCAGTGTTGCAGAATATACAGCCTCATGCTACATAACGAAGCTCCATTTCATGCTGAATAAACTAAATTATTTATGTATCTTAAATAGAAAACTATCTTATGATAGATTTTTACCCCAAAAGTTTTTTATTAAAATAAATTCAATAAAAATCAAAAAAATCTGATTTAAATCAAAAAAATCTGATTTTTTAATTTTTTTTAAAAAAATCATTGATTTTTATCCACCCTGCATTGCATTAGTATGGTTTACTCAGCATGGCCCCCATTGACAAAATTTTGATAAGATATTGACAAAACCAATATCCCAATATATTTTGAGAGATAAGCTTTCCAATTGTTTTATTTTTGAAAACCCAACAAAAAACAAATAAATCAGGTCCTAGCTAAAATAGCCTAATTAAAATCAGATTATCTACAGGACATTATACTATTTCTTCTTGCTAAAGATGCCTTGAGGAATCAGCTTTTATTTTTATCATCAGTCTACCTAGTCAGACAGAAAGACAGACAGACAGAAAGATAAAGGATGGACAGATATAGAGATGGATGGATAGACAGATAGATAGGAAATCATTAACACTAACAAGTCAGAATACTCACTTTCCGTTTATTATGATATGCAATGTATAGTGCAGCAACAATAATAGCTGTGGTCACCAAGTAGGCAAAGAAGTGGCTATTTTCAGATCCGTTCCTGGGTGTCCCCTCCAAATCCTCCTCATGCTTTGCACTCTTTTTCTTTTCATCACCCAACCCTTTTTCTTGTTCATCTCCAGTATCAACTATCTCTTCCTCAGTGTTTTTGGATTCCACAGGATTTAACTTTTGAGGAACAGAGAGACCTGATTGAAGATCCTGGTCTTTTGGGAATGAGTCTTCCATTTGTTTTGACTCATCATTTGTCTCTGGTTCAGAAAAGTCTGTCTTAGATTCTTCATTTTTGGGATGAGCAAGATCTAATTTTGAAGATTCTTGAGCAGAAGCCCTGGATTGAGCATTCAGGCCTTTAATTAATGGGTCCTCTCCCTCCTTTGATTCCTTAGTTTTTAACTTTGGAATAGATTTATCAGATATGCCTTCCTGAACGTTGGTGGCTTCAGAAGAATCTATCTTTCCAGAAGCAGGTTCTTGAAAAACTGACTGGGGATTCTGGTCTTTTGATTGTTCTGATTCCTTAACGTTTAAATCTGGATGAGAAACACCTGTCTTAGATTCTTCTGGGTGATCTTTCTTTTCCGGAGTGTTTCCAGTTTGAACAGGATTTAATTTTGAAGAGTCTTGAGCAGAAACACCAGACTGAGTGTTCGGGCCTTTAATTGATGGGTCCTCTCCCTCCTTTGATTCCTTAGTTTTTGACTTTGGAAGAGATGTACCAGATGTGTCTGTCTGAGCTTCTTCAGATTTATCTATGTCTGGCGGAGCTTTGGTGGCTTTACTAGCACCTAACCTTGCAGGATTAGACTGTTGAGCAGACAGACCTGACTGGGGAGTCTGTTCTTTTGCTGATGATTCCTGTGATTGTTTTGGTTTCTTAACAATTGTGTTAGTGACTTCTGAATGGTCTATCCCTTTCTGAATCTTTTTAGACTGAACAAGATCTAATTTTGAAGAAGCGCCTTGAGCAGAAGGACCAGGCTGGATATTCTGGATCTTAGTTAATGGGTCTTCTCCCTCTTCTGATTCCTTATTTTTTGACTTTGGAAGAGAAGATGTATCAGATATGTCTGTCTGATCTCCTTGAGATTTATCTATGTCTTCCTGAGCTTTGTTGGATTCAATAGCACCTAGCTGGGAACCTTTGTGATTAATGGATGGATTCGCTGTTTCCTTCGCTTTATCAGAACCTTGCTGGGGTGCCTCTGGCTGGATATTTTGTAAGTTACTTTGTACAACTTGAAGTGGTTTATTGTCTGCAGAACTTCTGCCTGGGTCTGAAGCACCTTGAGTCAAGTCCGTTAACTGTGAGTGATCACTGGAGAACTCTACAATGTGTAAAACTTAAAGTTAAAAAGTATTCTGTATGCTACAATAATTACTGTGTGGTAGTGTACAGTAATGCAAACTTTAAAATCATGCTGAATATATTCACCCTTTTATAAGTACAAAACATTTTAGGTAGCTTAGAGATAGTAGAGTATTTGTATAACCTAGTGCTATGGCCTTGGACCACAGACAGCTAACATAAACCAGACAGCAGTCTGTCTAGAACAGGGGTCTCCAACCTTGGCAACTTTAAGCCTAGCGGACTTCAACTCCCAGAAGTCCACCAGGCTTAAAGTTGTCAAGGTTGGAGACCCCTGTTCTAGAAAGTAAGAACAGAATGGTGTAATAAGAGATTGCAATATAAATGCTGTAGTATATTGGACATGTTGACAATGTCACACTGCAAGGGTGAAATATAATAGGGAGGTAATTTCAATGGATATCATGGTACTCCAGAGGAAGAGTTACAGTGTAATTCTATTATTCTTTTTACAGGTCATCAACTTACAACAGTTCATTTAGTCACCACTAGCTGAATAGCCGTGCTCCGCTACGAAACTATATGATCAGGCTTGATAAATCGACACTTAAAAGAGTTTGAAAATTAATGAGTAGTTACGATCGGCCTCTCCTCTCCCCTTCTCTCTCAGGCTAGCCCCATAGATCCCCTCCTTTCACCTTCTCTTCCGCAGGCTGGCCCCACAGAAGCCTCTCCTGTCCTCTCCTCTCCCCTTCTCTCCCTCTGGCTGGCTCCATAGATCCTCTCCTCTCCCCTTCTCTCCCTCAGGCTGGCCCCATAGATCCTCTCCCCTCCCCTTCTCTTCCTCAGGCTGGCCCCATAGATCCTCTCCTATCCCCTTCTCTCTTTCAGGCTGACCTCATAGAATCCTCCCCCCTTCTCTCCCTCCGGCTGGCCCCAGAGAAATGTCTCCTATACTATCCCCTTCTTTCCCTCAGGCTTTCTAGTCCCTTCTCTCCATGACACTTGCCCCACAGAAGCCTGTCCTATGCTATCCCATTCTCTCCAGTTATTTTCAAATTGGGAGGAGGAATAGAACATCTAGCTAATTAGTATCAGAGCGTGTTATAATAATATAGGAAATAATAATGCTCTGATTGTCATTCCAAAAAATCCTTTTTTAGTGAGCACCTAGAACCCAAGAGGAACATATTGTGGCAAATTTCAAGTTTGTAGGCTTTACGGTTCTGGAGATTTTGTGATTAATGCATGAGTGGTTTTCGCTTTTATATATGTAGATTCAAAGTTACGTCAATTAAAAAAGTGACTTATATTTTTCACACTTACAACCTCACTGCACCATCCCCATGATCAAAATTCAGACAGTAACTGACTCATATTTATGACAGTTGCAGTATCCAACCTTTTGAGATCTTCTGACAAGCAAAGTCAATGGGGAAACCAGATTCACTTAAGAACCATGTTACTAATATAATTGCAGTGATTTGCTAAGCAACTGTGGCAAGAAAAGTCATAAAAAGGTGGCAAAACTAATCAACAAATGTCTTGCTGAACATAAATCTTGGGCTCAATTGTGGTCATACATCGAGGATTACCTTTACCTTTCTACTTCAAATGTAATTGACCAAATGTATATAACTGGAGGGAACATTTTGCTGGCAGCCCTCTCTCTCCTGCTATCTGCTGGTAGGGAATCCAGTGTTCAGAGTTAGTGCTTTCCTATAAAATATACTTTGTTGCATATATCTCCAATGCTTTGGTTTCTAAAGTAAGTGAGCAACTTTCTCACAACTGCCCAAAACATTTACATACTGAACTTTCATTAATAGTGCAATGTGAGTTGTACACATTCATGCCACATTTAATTCATATCCCGCTTTTATAATTTTTTTTAAACAACTCAAGGTAGCGAGCATATTTCATACTTTCTCCTATTTTCCCCACAACAATCCTGTGAGGTGAGTTGGGCTGACATCATGTCAAGATCTCATTATTTTGAGTGTCTGTGTGGCCATCTCTAATCTTTGTGTTTTATTATACATTTGCATGCCTGACTTAATATGGCAAGAAAGGCAATCACACATTGAAATTAAGCTATTATATGTGTTGTATTTTGACTTAATGTTGTGAGTGAACCCTGGCAATTTTTGCACACGGTGGGACAACTCCCAGAATGCTCAGCCTACATTGGACAGAGGATTCCCAAGTTTGCTTATGTGTCTTTGAATCAGTGTCGATTTCCAATGATTAAATGGACATGTTTCTTCCTTGGCAACATTTCATAAGTGTTGCTGCCGCTTCTTCCCTGGGGCTGAGAGAGAATGACTTGCCAAGGTCACCCAGCTGGCTTCATAATTAAGCCAGACTAGAACTCCCAGTCTTGCAGTTTTTAGTCTGATGCCCCAACCACAATGAAGAGCATCAGATGGGAAAGGATGACCCAGATGAAATACCTATTACCATGCATTACACTGTCCATCAAGCAGTGACAGGTTTCACTTCCGGTTGGCACCGCCGGCGTTGTGGACGGTCTCTCCAGACCGCCGGCCCCGTGATTCCGTAAAAGCCGCTTTGACAGCGTTAAGCAGCTGTCTGGTGGCTTGAAAACTTCTCCATCGGGAGAAGAAGGAGAGGAGAGCCGGTGGGTGTGGGTAGAGCTCCCCCTAAGCCTCCTGGAATAATTCCAGAGGCTTGGAGGGCGAGAGCTCCCCGGTCAGCCCACTGAAGCTCCGGATCTGGGACAACTCTGTTTTAAACAGAGCCAGACGTCGCGACCAACTCTGCAGGCAAAAGTGAGTTTGATTGAATACAAGCGCAGACAGAGCGGAAACAGGAGAACAAGCATTTGCAAGTAACAGTGCTTAACTCTGGGTTTACATTGTTTCTAATTGAATCTCTTTGAGCTGGAGGCTGGAAGATGGCGCCTTTGTTGTGGGCGTGAAAGTGAAAGTAAGAAGTGAAAGTGCTTATTGAGAACTTTGCGCTCTGAGAGTGGATTAAAGCTGCTGGGAACTGTGAGCTTTGTGGAGAAAAGACTATTTTGTTTGACAAACTACAAACTATAAACTTTTGAAAATTGTTCAAGGGATTTTGTGGCTGTGAAAGGGAAAAAGACTTTTAAAATAAAGATGGCTTCTAAGCAAGCTAAGCTAGGAGTTTCTAAAAGTGGAGGAGGTACTCCAGTAGTGTCAGTAGTGACACAGAAAGCATAACTTCTGGCTGACTCACAGAGCCAGGAGGCTTCTTTTAATGAACTTAAAGAATTTATAAAAGAAGCTATGAATAATCAAACTGCAGCTATGAATAACCAAACAGTAATTATGGAGGGGAAACTAAAAAAAATTGAGGAGGATATAAAGGCAATTAAAGATGTTGTTGAAGAAAAGCATAATGAAATAAGAGATGACATTGTTCTAGCAGTCTCAGGATTGGCAAAACACCTTGTTCAGCTGGATGAGGGAGTAGAAGAAATCAATGAAGCCAATCTGAACTTGGAAAATAAAGTAGGAGACATTATGACTAAAATAGAGAAGGTGGATGATGAATTGGTTATGTTACAATATAGATCTATGGAATTTGCCTTGAGATTGAGAGGGCTGAAAGAAAGTAGCCGGGAAAATCTAAAGGACATTTGTGCTGAAGCTATGGCAGAGATAATCAAAGAAAGACCAGAAGATGTGGCAATCCGAATTGATAAAATTTACAGGGTTAACTCTTGGGTGGCAAGACAAAGACAGTTATCAAGAGATGTGGTGATCTATTTTACAACCAGGAGGATCAGAAATGACATTTTACAAGCTTCCTATAAGAATAAGGTTCAAGTGGCTGGACAAGAAGTGGTGGTTCTGAAAGAGATCCCTCCAAAAATGTTAAGAAGTAGAAAGGACTTTGGCTTTCTGGTAAATGAACTGAGAAATCAGCAAGTGCAGTACAGATGGGATATTCCAACCGGTCTAATAGTGAATTATGATGGAGAAAGATACCGTTTAAACACAGTTTGGAAGGCAAAAGATTTTTATGTCAATGTTCTAAAGGGGGTGGGGGGCAGAAAGAAAATGGAGATGTTACAACAAGAGAAAGATGGAAAGCAGATACAAATTTATGCTGCAGCTGCAGCTGGAGGAATTACCATGGAAGAATTATTAGTGCAATTTGGGGGCCCACCCCCAACTTTGGAACCACTCAAGAAGACAGAGGAACCAAGAGAACAACGATTGACACGAGCAACCTACAAACGCCAAGAATAACAACTAAAAGTGCAACAATCTCAAGACTTATCTCAAGGAGTCAAAAAAACAGAAGCAGTGGGTGGGGCTAGGCTGAAGAGTAAGATGGAGGAGGATATTCAGCTGATGCTTTTGAAGCTTCGAGGGGCCAAAGATGGCAACTAAATTCCTATCCTGGAATGTTAATGGTTTAAATTCACCACAAAAAAGAAAGAAAGTATTTCACTACTTGAAACAATTTAAGAACGATGTTATCTGTTTGCAAGAAAGTCATATTAGACTATCAGATCAAAAATATTTGATAAATTCAAGATTAGGTACACACTTTGTGGCATCAGCATCAGAGAAGAAAAATGGGTTAGTTATATACATAAAGAAAGGATTATCAGCTAATTTAATTGAGGCAGATACTCAAGGATTCAATAGTTCAATATTGCAATTGAACTATTAACTCAGAGTGGAAAAATGCTCTTAATTGGAATATATGCACCTAATCAACAAGACAAATTTTATAAATTTTTACACACCAAAATAATACAATGGGATTATAAAACTTTTATACTAATGGGTGATTGGAATGGAGTAATAGATACACAGAAAGACAAAAAAAGTTTATCAAAGACTTCGAAACGTGCAAAATTACCTAAATCTTTTGTAATGATATGATGGAAGATATGGAATTGAGAGACATTTGGAGAGAACGGAATGTTGAGGAGAGAGATTTTACATTTTTTTCCAATAGACATCAATCCTTTTCCAGGATTGATTTTATACTAATCACAAATGATTTTTTTTCTAGGGTGAAGAAGACGAAGATATGTCCAAGAATTCTAACTGATCATAGTCCGGTCTGGGTGGAATTGGAAAGGAGAGGGGAGAAAGGAGGCCTTGGATGTTAAATGAAAATTTATTTAGATATGAAGAAAATGTGAATGAACTTAAAAAACAAATGAAAGAATTTTTTGCTATTAACATGCATAAGGGTACTTTTATGGAAATGGTATGGGATGCGAGTAAGGCCTATATGAGGGGAACTTTAATACATATGAATAATAAACATAGATTAAAACAACAAAAGAAGCGGAAAGAGATAGAGGAGGAAATAAAAAAGAAAGAACAATTACTTATACTTAATCCAGGAGATAAGAAAGTAAAAGAAACAATAAACATACTACGAGAGCAATTCAATATGTTAATGGCTGATCAAGTGGCAACTAGTTTACAATATGCTAAACACAATACATTTTGTAATGCTAATAAACCAGGCAGGTGGTTGGCCTATGTGTTGAGGAAAAAACAGAAATCACGAGTTATTGGTAAGATAGAATTTAGAGGTAAGGAAGTTTATCAACAGAATATGATTAAAAAAGCTTTTTTAGAATTTTATACAAAGTTATATGCTAGTGATTCAATACAAGGCATGGATATAGATAGATACCTAAAGGAAGAGAATATTCCTGAATTAACGTCAGAACAGATGGAAGGATTGAATCAGCCGATAACTTCTGAGATTATTGCAGCAATTAAACAGTTAAAAATAGGTAAAGCTCCGGGAACAGATGGATTAACTGCTGTTTACTACAAGAATTTACAGTCTGAAATAGTAGAACCGCTTAGAGCTTTATTTTGTAAAATTCAATCAGGGGGAGGAGTCCCACCCTCTTGGAGAACAGCTTTTGTTTCATTGATCCCGAAGGAAGATCAAAACTGTACCAAACCTGAAAATTTTAGGCCAATATCACTTTTGAACACTGATTACAAAGTCTTTGCCAAGATATTAGCGAATAGATTAATGCCAGTTATGCAACAAACAATTCATAATGACCAATCAGGGTTTATAAAAGGGAGGCAAATGAAATACAATGTTAGACAAATTGTAAATTTATTGGAATATCTGGAAAAAAACAACCAAGTCCCTGCAGCATTCATATTTTTGGATGCAGAGAAGGCATTTGATCGATTGAACTGGCAATTTCTGTTTAAGATAATAGAAAAAATGCATTTTAGAGAGTATTTTACACAATCAATTAGAGCAATATATCAGGAACAAACAGCACAAATAATAGTTAATGGAGGTTTAACAGATGCTTTTAAAATTGAGAAAGGAACAAGGCAGGGTTGTCCTTTGTCTCCATTGTTGTTTATTTTAACTTTAGAAGTTTTGTTGAATAAGATACGTGAGTCTGATAAAATAAAAGGAATTGTAATTAAACAGCAAGATTACAGATTAAGAGCGTTTGCAGATGACTTGGTTGTTACTTTATCTCAACCTATAGAATCGGCTCCACACATGTTGGACATAATAGGTCAATACGGTAAGGTATCTGGATTTAAAGTAAATCAACATAAGACAAAGATGATAACTAAAAATATGTCTATATCTCAAAGAGAAGACTTAGGAAGAATAACGGGGTTTGAAATAGTTAAAAAGGTTAAATATCTAGGAGTATATATTGCAGCCTCAAATACAAAATTATTTAAAAACAATTATGAAGTTCTTTGGCAAAAAGTGCAGAAAGAAATGGAAAATTGGAAAAAGTTACAACTATCTCTACTGGGAAAGATAGCAGCAATAAAAATGAATGTATTGCTCAGGTTCCTATTTTTGTTTCAAAAGATATCAGTGCTTAAGAAAGATGGAAATTTGAGGGAGTGGCAGAAAGGGGTTAATACTTTTATTTGGGGTGGGAAGAAACCAAGAGTGAAACTGAAAATTATACAGGACGTACGTGAGAGAGGAGGTCTTAAAATGCCTAATTTAAGATTGTACTATGAAGCAGCTGTCTTATCACAAATTAGTGACTGGTTTAATTTAACTGAAGAGAGAATGTTAAACATAGAAGGTTATGATTTATTATATGGATGGCATGCTTACTTGTTATATGAAAAAAACGTGGATAAGGTGTTTAAGGGTCACATACTTAGAAATGCTTTGTTGAGGGTTTGGAAAAAGTATCAATATAAGCTAAATTACAAGATACCTATATGGGCAAACCCCAGACACGCAATAGAAAATATAAGTATAGAACAAAAACAGGAGGTGATTACTTATAAAGAACTTCTTTTTATGGAAAGGGGTAAATTGCAATTGAAACCTTTAAATGTATTGAAAGAAGAAGGGATAATCTATACTTGGTTTCACTATGGTCAGCTTCAAGCTAGATGGAGGGAAGATCAAAAAATTGGTGTTATGCAAAAGGAGGAAAACCTGGTAAAACAGATTAGAGATCAAAGTCAAATGCATATTAAAAGGTTATAATGTATAAATGTATAATGCATTACTGGAAATAGATTCAGAAACGGAATTGGTTAAGGATTGTATGATAAAATGGGCACAAAACTTTCAGGAACCAGTTATGATAGAAACATGGGAAAAGATTTGGGTTAGAAATATTAAATTTACGCAAGCACAAAACCTGAGAGAAAATTTTTATAAAATGTTTTATAGATGGCATTTAGATCCTAAAAAAATTATCATGTATGTACCCAAATTTGCAAGCTAAATGTTGGAGATGTGAATGTGATGATGCAATTTATTATCATATATGGTGGACTTGTAAGAAAATCAAGGCATTTTGGATAAAAATTTGGTGGGTGATGCAGAACATCCTGAAAAATGGTTGAAATTTACTCCGCAATTGTTTTTATTGGGTATAACTACGGATTGTACAGCATTAGAGACTAAACTGATTTTAAATTTAATATCAGCAGCTAGGCTGTTGGTAGCGCAATACTGGAAGAAGGACTCTGCCTACTATTGAAGAATGGACATTGAAAGTAGCGAATCTAGCGAAAATTTCAGCGTATTTGAAGGACTATACACAAGAAAGATATATATCGGAATGGAGAAGATGGATTGATTATATTCAAAATAAGTATCAGACAAGAAAATATCAAATAGCTTATGAATGAATGTTAAATTTTAGAAATATTACATTATCCATAGTGGAGTTAAGGTTTCAGGGGGGGATTTGGTAGTTCAAGAATAGTTAGGTTACTTTAGCTTATGATTGTTAACTGAAATACCCTGTATTTTGCTCTGGGAAGTCTGGGGGGGAGGGGGGGATGGGAGAAAGGGGTGTGGGGGTGGTGGGGAGGGAAAAAGGGTGGGGGGAATATTGGGGGGGGGAAATTTTCTTTGTAAAACTTTTTAATAAAAAAAAAGAAAAGAAAAGTAGTGACAGGTTTCATCCTTTACAAAGGCTGTTTAGACACTGGATGCCAGATCTATGGGGTCATCACTCTAAATTCATCATTCCTTAAGAAGACTATATATGATGGGTAAACTTTAGGAGCTACCCGGGGCAGGCACTCGGGGGTCCCAGAGAGAGATATCCAGAAGTGTCAGAATGGTCCCTATCAGGGTTTCTCAACTTTTAAGATGTGTGGACTTCAATTCCCAGAACTCCCCAACTTTAGGACTATCCAGGCTGAGGCATCGAAGGCCCCAAAAAAAGAGATATCCAGAACCTGTCATACTCGCTGGGGAATTGTGGGAGTTGTGCAGTCCACAGGTTTTAAAACACAATGTCTAGGGAACGAAGGGACTAGTATCCACACATCTCAAAGTGGCTGAGGTTGGAAAAGCCTGGTCTGTATAGTCCTTCAGAGAAGGCGGACCGTACAGACCACCCTGATAGCTTCAATCACCAAGGGCAAGCCTAGGAGAAGCCTTTGGAACGAGCAGGTGGTGATTTCCCTTCCATTACTCCTCCATCCTCCTACCCGCCATAGCGAAGCGATAGGCCCAAGGTCTGCGGGCAGGATGGGGGAAAAGCAAAGCCGTTCTCCTTCTCCCCTTCAAGAGCCGCCACTGACCTGGAGTATTCGCCCCCGCCGTCTTCCCCTGGCTTTCTCCCTCGTCTAACGGCGCCGCACTGCCCCAGGCAGCCAGCGAACACAGGAGGAGACACCAGGACCAAGACGCCGCCATGCCGGCTCAGGAGCGCCTTCTACTTCCGCCCAGTTGCCAGCGGAAATGGAAAGCCTCTTTCCATGGCTCTCCGAGCGCCCGTTTCCGCTGGGGTTTCTCCCCCCCCACCCGACGCTTTTCTCGCGAGAGCTGAACTTCTCGGGAAGGCGAGAGGAGGGGTGGAAATCTGCTGATGGGCGTGGCTTACGACTCCAGGGAGGAGGGGTTGGAGGCTGCCGCTGGAAGGCAAGCGCCTGCTTTAATCTCATTTGTGTGAATACGCAGCACCAGCTTTAGGCCGCTTCGCATTTTTTTTCCTCTTCTAATTGAGAGTTGATGTGGAGCATTCTTAGCAAAAACTTGGCATTTTTCAGACGCGTGGATCAGGATTCCCCATCCACACATCTGAAAACTCTCAACTTTGAGAAACACTGATGTAGATTAAACCCTCACAACTCCATGTCTGAATTGCACACCGGACAAACTGGAAAGCTTGAAGGTAGTAGTAGTGTCTTGCTGCATTGCAGAGCGAAAGACCTGGTTGCTGGATTGAGGGCAGATTCCACCTCCCACCCTTGTTCTCTGCTGTCCATCTTTCTTTCTCAGTAATCATATAATTGCATTTCTCGCTGTGTTCTTTTTCGTTGTTTATTGCTCTATTATCTTCCTTTCACACTCTTTTCATTTCTTCCTTTTTATTGTTAAAAGCCGCCTAGAGTAGCTCTACGGTGATACAGGAGCAAATAAATTTAAGAAATAATGAGAGTGAAAGTAAACTAGGGAAAACAGGCTATGCCAGAAAAGTGCTGAAGCGGGACAAATACAGGCTGACTTTGCACACATTGTTAATTACAATGGAGTTTGTTCTGTTTTAATTTAGAGAGTGGGAACTCAGGTGCTGATGAAACACAGCATGGTTAAATCCAGTGTGGGAACTCAGCTTTGGCATTAGATGTGTCAACTAAGCCTTGGGTCAATAACTTTTTTAGTCCTAGGGAGAAGGCAATAGCAAACCTACTTCCAAAATCATGCCAAAAGATCTAAAGAGAACTTTGTCCAAGCAACTACCAGAACACAACACTAACTTGAAGGTGCCACACAAAAGTACAGCTTTACTCAGCGTGCAAAACTCCCTATGTTAAAAGAATGGTGATGCAGCACCATCTTGTGGTCTGCATGTTTTTTTCTCAGCTATTAACGAAACAAAGTTGCAAAGGGGATACTGGTATATTTTATTTAATCACAGGCTACATTGCAAGTTCTTATTTATTAATAGGGTTCTCCAACTGGTGCAGTACTCAAAAGATAAAAGTCAAGCTATTGTATTCTCAGCACAATCCTCAGAAGACTAAATGGGACTGTTTTTTTTTTTTTACTACACTTGCGTCTCACAATGGATTTCACAATGGAGTGTCAATAAAGAATTGGTAGCATCCTTGAAAGATAAAACCAAATACAATATAGTTTTTCCAGTCTTCCACAATGTAGCGAGTTGCATTGTTTTAATCTTCCAGCATTTTAAGTTTATTTGCTTAAGGAATTATAGATTCTTAAAACAATTGGGTTGTTCTGCTGATTATAGGTGGAGTTTTTGTTATTGACTAGATGATAGTCATTTTAGGTGGACGGCTGCAGAAAATTCTGCAATTCAACACAAAGCAAACATTTTCTCAATGAATCATTTAAAGGCTATCAATGTAACATTGGTTTAACTCTTAGTATTTTTAGACTTTAGAAAACCACCGGAAGCTTTTCTCATATTTAGGAACTCTGACGGATTTAAAAGAAAGGAGGGAAAGATTATCATTGTATCTGCTTTTAAAGCTCAGGAAAGTGCAGATATTTCATTCATGACTCCAAGGCAGGAAGCTGTGGTTTTATGAATTTGTATAGCCACTCTGCAAACGCTCTTAAATTCCAGGGATTGTTAGGTTAGTTTCAGGAAAGCTGCAATTTGGATAATTAGAAACTTTCCTAGTTGTTTCCTTCTTCCTTTTTTGCACAGGACAGTAGCCTGAATGGGAATATTCCAGCAGCATAGTCAGCTTGCCTTATCTTTGAGTTGGTATACTTTTTAAGGTTTTCCAGAAGTGCTTTCAAAATGCTGTTTCTGAAGACAATACATTTCTTTGGGATCAGGAGATTTTGTATGTATATATAGAGGGAAGCTGTTTTTCATATGGAATTCAAAAGCAGGGAGTTCTCATTTATTTAATGTAGCTGAATATATTCATACAGAAAAAATAAAGAGTTCAAATATCCCCTTCTTGGGTTAACTGCTGAATAAGCTTCATAAACAATTGGGCTAGTAGAGGTGAATCATTACTGTAGGAAAGGAATTGCCTGGTCAGATTTGTTTATTATTTATAGTTTTTATATCCCCTTGAATTCCCCAGAGACTTCTGTGATTTACAAATGTGACGTTGAGGTTAAATGTGTTCCACTTCTGTGCATGATGGCGCCACTGGAATCGTTTTTGATTAGGCAGCCTTAAAATTGAATGAATTATTAATAATTAATATTAGGATGTGATTTAGGGCAGCAAACTATTATAACTTATTTAAAAATGGTTTAAAACATTGGCTTAACACAATACAGTGTTTTTCAACCTTGGGAATGTTAATAAATGTTGTCTTCAACTCTCAGAATTGCCCCTCCCCAGGGTTGGCTGGGGAATTCTGGGAGTGGAAGTTCACACTTCTTAAAATGCCTAAGGTTGGGAAACACTGGCTTAATACAAGAGCTGGACTTAACTACAGGTACTCAGGTTGCTAAGCCATAAAGCATGATTTATGAAACATTGTGACTAAGCTGCTAAGCTAAAAGCAAACAATCCACATACTGGTTTAGTGCAATCTATGGGCCAGCCATAGACTTGCTGCAAACCTATGAATTTCTTACCTGAGAATAAGTTCCACTGAACAAGGTGAGAACCATTCTGATTACACTACGTACCTTGATATGTCACTATTTTGAATTGCCGAACAGGAAAGCATGTTTCGGTAAGGCTTTAAATAACTTTTTCCTGTCCTAGGTGATTTTTGAAAGAAGGCATCTTTAGGATCTGATCCTGCAAAAAGTGATAGACTGGAAGGGGGGGGAGGGGTCTAACTGTGGCAATCGTAACACTTGTGGACTTCAGCTCCCAGAATTTCCCAGCCAACCATGTTGAAGTGGAGTTGAAGTCCACAAGTCTTTAAATCAAGTTGCCCAGGTTAGACACTTCTGGATTACAAGGTAGCATTTAAATAAGTATGCTAAGTAAGGCTGGTTCACTCTTCACACAACATCCTAGTCTTGTGAAGTTGGCTATAGTCCATTTCAGAATTTTTAGCCAATTTATTTAAATACAGATTAGCATGTTACACAAACATATCTAAACTTCAAAAAAAGTAACTGCCAAGGAATATCACTCAAGGCCACTTCTGTACCAGGTGGAGCCACAAATCAGCCAAATGTTTTAGCTAAGTGTCTTTGTAATTAACTTATGATTCAATGTATCATGCAAATGAAGGAAATTAAGTAAATGGAGTAAAACATTATTACATTAGCAATGATTGATCATATTTGCAAACACAATGTTTCAATGCTATTTTATTGGCTGACAATCTGGCAATAATGCACGGGAGGGTCCCTTTTTTAAAAAAAAAAGCAGAGAAAAAAGAGCTGCTTTGGAACATAAAATGATATTTATATTTCTTGATAGTTCCAAAATCAAAAGAATATATATCTAGAAATGTTAGTAATATAAAAATATGTTTTAACGTTTAAACTACAGGAACTCTGCTCAATTAGTAAATGGGATCAGAATTTTTAAAAACCTCCTTAACAGTTTGCAACTTGGCTTTCAAATGAGAAACAAAAATCTTGGTGCATTGACTTGCTGTTTATTTTTTTTCCAGTGTTCAAGATTCTTATATAAACATACCGCACTGGAATAGTCACATCAGCACACCAAAGCTGCCTGCCTAGTAAACAATACTGGTCTTGAAAATAATCCCATGTCTAAATGATACAAAATGAGGCTCTGGGACATAAAATAAAAACAAATGCTGCAATGTGGTTTTCATGTCACCATCTAGTTAGACAGTTTTAATCTGTTGAGTAACAGAGCCCTATGCCATGGACACATAATTAATATTTATTGGAAAGCTCCAGGTTGAATGCACTGTGATTTTTCAGTATCAAAATAAGAGCTGTTGATCATATTCCCATATTTAATTTATGCAACAAAAGGAAAGTATGAGTGGCAAGTTTTTCTTATGGAAGTGTTTATTTTAGTGTCTTCTGGATTAATTCCATAATTCTTCAAGGAATAGAGTTCCCTGAATGCTAGAAAGACTAACCAGCCCCTTCTTAGGCAGTCCTTCCTCCTCCCCATCCTTATGCTCCTGAAGCTGCATAATTGTGTCCAAAGGACCAGAATTAATTACCTCCTCCTGCTAAGTCCATTCAATACAAGATCTTCAGTCCCCAAGTATTCTGGGAGGCAATATAGTGCAGGAAATCTAGGCAGAAGTTTCCATAACTTGGAAAAATTGGAAGGGAGATACATGAAGTATATTGTAAACAGCTCAAATTAATTAGTTTTATATTTCAATTTTTTCAAAATGAAAGGGAGGAAGTGTGTTGAGTATGTGTGCTCTTTCTAAAGTATCCAATTTTGCCAGCTAGGATAAGATGTATAATTCTTGAACTGACATTAGAGATGGCTATAATACTATCAAACAAGTGTTATTTGGGATTGATAAAACTCTCTAGGTTGATGTTTCTCAAACTTGGGCACTTGAAGATGTGTGGATGTCAACTCGCAGAATTCTCCAGTCAGTCATGCTAACTGGAGAATTCTGCAAGTTGAAATCCACACATCTTCAAGTGGCCAGGATAGATAAACACTGCTCTAAGCTATTTCCTTGTGCTGAGGCCAATTCCTACCAGTTCCTCCATCAACTCACTGATCCCTTTAATTCAATCCAGGCCCCAACATGCTGCAAACACACTAGTGCATTGCTGAAATCGGCTGGATGAGTTTAACGATGAATTATATAACTTAGCCAAATATCCTGCAGAGAAGAGAGTAACCTCTTCTTATCACTGGCAAATTGCACAGGGTTAGCAAATGGATAAATAGAATGGGCGCATTGCAAAAGAATTAAAAGAATAGACTTGTCAAGAGAAAAGACAATCACTTCTATTGTTTCTTAAAACAGCCAAAGAAACACTATCCAAATGCATCTTAAATCAAGTACCATCTACTGACTAGTCTACATAATTATAGTATCCACAGAATCAGTTCATCTAGGGCAGGGGTGTCAAATTTACATCATGGTGGCAACACGCAATGTATCAGGACTTTTTCCCCCTTCACTAAGTTGGGCGCGGGCATGGCTAGCACGTGACACATCTGGCCCACAGGCTGGAAGTTTGACAGCCCTGATCTAGGCAATGGTCTCTATAATGCTTTGTTTTCAGCACCCCTTTACATTCTTAAAAGCCCCAAGAGCTTTGGTTTATGTGGGTTATATCTATCAATATTGACTGCAGTAGAAATTAAAACTGATAAATTTTAAAGTAATTACTTGACTTTGCAGGCCCCTTGAAAGGACCTCAGGGACCCCCAGACCGTACTATGAAAAACCCTGATCTAGGGTATTTGTGCTGTCACACTACATCTCAGTTGGAAATTAAGAATGTGCAAATCTCATTCAACAAGTTACAGGGAAATTAAATGGGCCCCCCACTTCCATTGATCCCCAATTTTGCTGTGGCGGTTCTAAGCCCATCCTTTGATTTAGCACCTTCCAGATGCATTGGGACAGGAGCGTATAGTCACATAGGCTGGGAATTCTGGTCGCAACCCAACTCTGGATTGCATCAATTAGGCAAGATGCTTAAGAAAAATGCACACCTTGAAGCCTCAGGACGAACAAAAAGAACTGTCTTTCTTATGATGTGAACTAAACCTGGTTCCCAACTAAGAAGACTTAAGTGACTGAAAGTAAAATTGTCTGACAGATAAATCAATAGGGTGTTTCAAGGCTCTTTACTGAGCTAAGTGGTCATCCTTTCCAATTTAGTAGAGCACTGTCCAAGGAACTTTTAAGATTCAGAACTCAAGACATGAAGAGACCCCAGGGTTAACCCAGAGTCACGTGTCCACCATGCCAACTTGGCACTTGCCCATAAAATTAGCCTGCCAAGCAGTCCCATTCAGGGAATGACAATTAAGTTTTCACCTGATTAGAAAGCATCTAAGCACAAACGTATCAACCATTTTGCTCCCCAGAGGATTAATTTGGTCAGAATAGAAGATCAAAAGGAAAACAATTAGCAAATTGAGGAGTTTAATGATGCTAATTAAAATGTATTAAGCATAGCTTCTGCCCCTGCACCAGCTGCTTGGGCAGGCAAGCCAAAGGCTGGGGGAATTTTTTCCTGTACTCCAAACATGTGGAGTTGGGAAAGAGGACATCTGGCATTCTTCCCCGATGGTCTGTCACAAAAGGTGGGATCAAGAAAGCTTCCTTTGCCCAAACTTTGCAATGGGCTTCTGTCGGAGTCCCTAATTATTTCTTGCTTGGCAAGATCCCTTGGGTCTTCATTAGGCATTTCAGTTAGTAAGAGGGTGAAAAGAAAAGAAATCTGATTTGAAGAGACACACAAGAGAGGAAGGCATGGGAGAATGCTTCTGCTGCATTGATCATGATTAGTTATGCAAGCAAAGATGGCAGACGCAACTCTCGGTTTCAAAAGAGACATAAACCTATGAACAGGGACCCAGATGCTATCTGCACTCTGGGGTTTTATAACAAGCTCTCTGAAAAGAAGAAAAAGAAAGATCTACTCAACTCAGGCTTTTAATGAGATGGCCAGTGGATCCCCAAAGAAAAGCAATCATACATTTAGAACCTGCCTACCTACATTAATTGTTACAGACAGAAAGAAAAAGCAGAACATAACAGTAATACACAAAGAGTGAAAGAGGAGGACAAGAAAGGGCCATGCAGACCTGTGTATCTTGCTGGCCAAGTTCAAGCAGTTGATTCCTGAGGGCTGCAAATGGAGTGAGGGGAAGTAACTTGAGACCCTCCATTCACTTCAGTTATGCCTGTGCAGCTGCTGAAGAGAAAGGAGAGACTGACCCCCTCAGTTTATTGTTATTTTTTAAGAGTCCATTCTCTTGCAAGGCTGTTTTACAGCTAATGCCCATCCTTTATTGCCTCTCTTGCTGGCATGAATGCTACTGAGGGATACTGATGAAGGAAAAACACAAAAACATGGATTTAGTTTAGCCATTATTTATTAACAAAGACCCAACTGAATGGGTTCAGAAGTTACCGTAATCCAAAATTCAATTCACAAAGGACATGCCTATGGATGTAAACACCAGTAGGATATTTACCAGGAGTAAGCATGGTGGGAAGGGCACAGAGTAATATTCATATCCATCAATATTTCACAATTAATTACAATCTATGTATTACAATCATACTGATAATTTCCTACTTATCAAAATAAAATTGTATAGCTAAACAGGAGTGATGGATGTCATATTCCACACTTCTGAAAGACCACGTCAATGAAGGCTTCTAAAGCCACCGAGTTCAGTTTGCTGTTTATCCATTGGTAGGACAGAATTCTGGATTTCCAGACATACAAACACTCCATGGGAGAGGACAGTTTATGTTTTAAGACTGAAACCCAAGATTCTCTGCACAAAATGGAGCACTCAAATGCTAACCATACATCCAGGAAAGTCTAGCTAAAAGCTAAAGCTAGCCAAGAGACCATTCCAGAACATCAATTTCCAAAAGGCTGAACACAGCATGAGCTAGTACCAGAGAAATGCAGAGGTCCAATCTGAATATCAATAAAATGTAGATATTTAATTCTACCTGAAGCAGAAGAACACATGGCATCTTACCTGTTTATCTGCTAGAGCTTACAGTATACGCCACCCCAATGCATCATGACTAACTGCAGGTTGTATGGACAGAAAGCAAGGAGTGTAGCAGACAAAGTCAGCCCTCATAAGAACTTTCTCCCATACATGTAGTAAAAATAAAATAAACCAATTTAAATAATACATACTGTATATTAATGATAGCCCAATACCCAACCATAGGCTAGCCCTGAATGTACACATGGAAAATTTAAATATTTCAAGAAAAAATGGTATATGCAACTCCTAGGGTTTTTTTGGGGGGGGGGGTTTGGGAGGACTTGTAAATTCTTTCTCTAGTGCTGCTCTTAAGACAGGACAAGCTCATCATGTCTTTGGTCTGGTTAGAACTACACTTCCTGAAGAGTGACAAGAGAGCTCTACATCAAGTCTCACCACCACACACACAAATTTTTGTTGTGTTTTGCTCAATCTCACTGGAGATATCTAGCTAAGAAACAAGCAGAGCAGAAGAAATGAAGGGCTGTGAATGAAGTGGCAATGTCCAAAATACCAAGTCATTAATGAAAATTTAAGGTTTAGCTATACTTTGAATCTTAGAAATGACAAAGAAATGATGCTGGGTAGATGTTGTTGTTAATCTGGAAATTGAATTCAAGTCCATGCGAGTTTTCAATTCAATTTAAGTTTCATCTTAAAACACGCACACGCTCCTTTCCTGTTCAGCAATAGGGATATTGTCCTGTTTGTTGACAAAAGTATTTTAGCCCCAATGAACAGCTAAATGTTTATGAGGATATGGAAAGAATGAAATACTAAATTATGTAGAATGTTTATATATAGTCCTGAAAAGGAAATATAAGGAAGCAGTTTTCTACTGTCTCCAACTTCACTAAGTTCTTATCAACCAGAAGCTGATCTTGCCATTAACATTGCAGACTGAACTTTTTTACTTTGAAAATAAAATGTAGTTCCTTAGTCCTACTTGTATCTTTTTATAGATACCAAGTCAAAGGATCACTCAACAGCCAGTAGGCTCCATATTTAGAACTAAAGCTTAAGTTCTCAACAAGTTTTTCCCTTCATAAAAAGGAAAAAAAGTCATATTCCATGATCACAAAATACACTTATTGGACTAATCCTAAATGTATAGATTTGTGGGCAAACTTTGATGCAATCAGAATTAGATTACAGTAATGCACTCAAGACCTGTGTGGCAGAAGTGGGAGGGTAGTGTCCATGGCATGCAAGTGGGGAGCTATGAAAAATGTGGCTACAGGGTCTCTGTAGCCGTTCACTTAACAGTGAGGCAAGATAAACGCAATCCTTGTGTTTATCTGATTCCTTTTATTATACCATTAGGAAAACAATGGAAGGGTAAGATTTCAAGACTGGGTGAAACTACATCCGATTATAACTCATTATAGACCACTTACATTTGCAGCAACTAATTTAGCTTTACTTTTAGTCGTGCCAAGGATATAAGATGCCCATATTTGCAGTGGTATTGATGGGGCGGTTATTTTCCAAATTCCCATCCTATGAAAATATGCCAAACAAGCAGCAACTCTATTATTGACTTCAGGGCAACTACCAAAGCTGTTCCACTATCATTGATGATTGCAATAGGATCATGCTTTATACGGCCTCTAGAATGGCTGGACGATTCCAGATGAGGCCCTAACTTGGTTAGTGAGTATCTTGCCATCAAGAAGCATCATCTTGTTAGATAGGAGAGAAGAGTGAAATGCAAGGATTGTGTTGGAGTTTTTTACATGAGAAAGCAAAGAGATCCTGAATCAATAAAGTGGCTTCATGCCATGCTATCTGCTATAGGTAGTCCTCGACTTACAACCACTATTGAGCCCAAAATTTATGTTGATAAGTGAGACATTTGTTAAGTGAGTTTTGCCCCATTTTATGACCTGTCTTCCCACAGTTATTAAGTGAAACATTGCCATTCTAAAGTTAGTAACATGGTTCAGTGAATCTGGGTTTCCCATTGACTGTCAGATGGTTGCAAAAGGTGATCACATGACCCTGTATATGGGTCAGTTGCCAATTGTCTGAATTTTGATCACGTAACCATGGGAATACTGCAACGGTTCTAAGTATGAAAAATGGTCATAAATCACTTTTTAAGTGACCTTCTAACTTTAAACAGTCACTAAATGAACAGTTAAAGTCGAGGACTACCTGTACTTCATTGGAAGCAAACATGGCCCTAGACAGAAACCCTCAAACTAAGATGCCAGTTGTATTTTGACTGCCTCCCCCACCCCAACCCATTGTAGTAGAGTGACTTTGCCATTTTTTTTCCTCCTGAAGCAGCACCCTAACAGATGTTCTTTCCTGTATGGGAAAATGCAGCTTAAAACAAAGAAATATTCTCCTGCTAAAGCTCAACATCTGTTTGAAGCTGTCTGGCCCAGGGTCAGACTTTTAATTATTCTGACAGGTTGCTTCATGCCCTTAATTTTCCATGAAATCCGATTCAAGAGGCTGCTTGTCTGCAGGCAGCTCTTGGGATTCTCCAAGCAAGGTTGCACATGACCCAGGTGCTTTTTGCCAAATATGCAATGTTTTTGGAGATGTTTCTTGAAATCAATTTTTGCTTTTTAGAAAAAAGGAGCCATTGTTGAACTGCTAACATGAAGAAGCCTAGCATCCTGTTTTCAGTGGAAATACATTTTAAAAAATGATGCAGCCAATATTTTTTTAAAGGAGATTTCAACAGGCATGGCAGATACTATTTCCATCAAGATTTTGGTATTTTATTTCTCCCCAGGACACAGGGAGAAATTGGTTTTGTGTAATTTTATTTGAGACTTGCCTTGCTGTTACTGACTCTTTCACTGGATATTAGAATTACTCATCTACTGGGGACAGTCAGTTCTTTTTATTTTTTTCCTGTAAATATGTGTCTGATATAATAAATTACAAGTCAAGCATGCAAGTGTTCAGTGCTTCCCTTTCCAGACTTCAACTGAACCATCAGTAAATGCTACTCTTTCTTAACATTTTAAATCCGGGCCTCTCTGATTTCCATTGGATTTAGTTTTAAAAGCATGAAGAAATCCCAGGAATACAGAGAATTGCACCTTATAGCCCCATTACCCTTGCATATCAAGATTTTAATTCAAGTCACTAAGTTGCATGCATGAAACAAGAGTATGCAACATTTCAACACAGGGTCCTTCCAAACCAAGGGTGATCAATCTTGGCAACTTTAAAACCTGTGGACTTCAACTCATACAATTCTCCAGCCAGCCATGGGAATTCTGGGAGTTGGAAGTCCATAGGTTTTAAAGTTGCCAAGATTGGATACCCCTGATCCAAAGCATTAAGCTACCTTCTTAGTGTAAAAGTGGTATGGTCAATCCACTTTACGTAGTGTTACAGTCTGTGAAAAAGCCTCTTTCCATGGAACTAGTCCCTGGTGCCCAAAATGTTGGGGGCCACTGTTCTAGACATTAGCACAAACACTTTGCTAACCATACAAGCAAGCCCATTTTCGTGTGTGTGTGTCTGTGTGTACAGGCTCGAGAGAGATCACCTTAAATTCAATGTCCTTTTGGATGAATGTCTCTGAAATATTCAGATAGATCAGGGCAAGAACAGGCAGTAAATATCCTTTCCATCCACCTCCAATATATGTTATTCAAAATAGACAGTAATTGCAAATGAATTGGAAAATGAAGCTTAATTATATAGTATGAAATTGCTATGATGGTTTTAAAACTTTTTTATAGACTTTGGAACCCGTTTAGGGAAAAATTCCAGCTCTCCCAATGAAGTGGCAAAACTCTTTTACTATAATAGAAAATTGATTGCATCAGAGTAAACATTTTGTGGTCGTGGCTGTTTTGCCATTAGTTTATCACAAAACCTGTGGTTCCACAAAACAATTTGAAAAAACTTGCTCTAACCTTTACTACCCAGAGCAAGGTGAAATGTCTACTGTGTAATGATTGGTGCTTTGTTAAATTTTAGGAAAGAGCTCGGCTTTTATTTATAGAATCATATTCTATGTCACAACTTGAGATTACCATTTCTCTTCTGGTGCTCTCTCCCCCCCCCCACATCCATATGGTTCATACATGAACAGGTGGAAATTCTTGACCAATCTTGTTTGGGGTCAGTAGAGTTGGCCATGATTAATGCTTAGAAGGAAAATCTCCAGGGAGTATTAGAAGTATAAGTTAGGCAGGGAAGTAAAAAAAAAATCCAAGAAAACAATGGCTATCTTTTTTGCAGCCAACAAAATTATAAACTGGATGCATCGTTGCAACTTGAACTGAACCTGTGGGAGACTCTGAGGAAGAGATTTCTAGTTACAATAACAACAAAGAATGTCTTTGTGCATCACCTCACACAATCACCAGAATTCTTATATATGCAGGATATCATGCACAATCTAGATTTCCCAGCATGTGCTTACTGGGAAAATCTATAGTGTAACCTATCTAGAATTTGGTTACTTCTAGGAATAGGTTGTTTATACTGGAAATGAAAGCAGCGTTAAAATGAACAGACAGGTAATGTGACATCCTGGCAAACAGACATAAAATTTGGGCAGTAATTTAGATTTCATGTTCCAATTAAAGGAGCCAGAAGCTTTAATGGGGAAGATGCCAACATTTGATGGTCTTGGTAACTATGTTATTTCCTCACCAACCATATCATTAATATCCTACTGGATAGCTGAGGAAAAGCAAACTATTAGCTTCCCTTCAATGAAGACTACAGACCCTTAACAAAGATAACTAGAAAACTTCTATAAGGCACTTTGATCTTGCTGAAGATTATGTGAGATATAAATAAAATAACTCTAGTTATAAACCATGTTTCTCATTCTGCTCACCCCATTTGGCCTAACCAACTTATGTGCCAGTCAATTATTGATTTCCTGCATCTTAATCGCCTCTTTCTCTTACACAAATTGTCTTGTTTTTAAATGTGGACAGATTGCTGGAAGAAGTATTATCTAGAACAGCAGTCCCCAACCTTTGTGGCCTGGCTTCAAGGGGGGGGGCACACACCTGGACTGCACAAGTGGGCTGTTGCGTGCACAACTCGACTTGCATGAGTGGCAGACAGGCCGGTGCAAGTTGAGCTGCGTGTACGTACGCTCTAGTCAGCCACTCGCACAGCCCAATTCTAAATAGGTCATGGCTCAGTAGTGGGCTGCGGCCCAGAGTTTGGGGACCCCGATCTAGAATATGAATGGGGTCTTTTTCAATTCCCTAGAGGAGGTTCCCTAACCTTTCTGGCTTTGCTGATGGGGTGGGGAGAGGGGATGGTTCCATGCGAGTGGCTGCCAAGCATTCACACATGCAGCTCCTACACAGCCTAGTAGTTGGGGACCCCTGCCCTAGACACTTTTCTGCACCCTTCCCTCTTTTAGTTATCCCACTTCTCAAGATCTAAAGAAAGAATCTTCAGATTTGTACATCCAAACAACATGTACAAATTATTTCTTTATATACACTTCATAATGTCTATTAGGGAAGGAATCATTGATGGTCCAATTCTGGGAATTAATGGGGCCAAAATTAAGGTAGACAGAACCAACAGGCTAGGCAATCTTAATATAAAGGCATCAGTTGCAAACACTTTTCCTCTTCATCCATACTCATGAAGGGAAAAGGAGGGGCAGAGTGCAAGATGTATTAAATGTAAATTCTTCATTGAATACTCTCACACAGTAAGTTAGGACGCAGATTTATTTTCCTTTTTAAAAATAACATGGAATTTCCCAAAGCCTATTCCCCTACTGCCTGCTACAGAAAATAATTCTGTAAGGAAATAGGATGGATTGTCCTACCATTATCCTGGACAGTCACTCCAGATTACAAGAAATGTATTTGGCCTCCCCGAGGCTCGGCAGTTCTGAATATGACAGTGAGGTACTATATTTCTGTGGTACTGTGTCTTCTGGTACATATTGCAAGTCTCTTAGAAAAAAAATGAAACAGCGGGATGAGGGGAAAAGTCATATAAAACATTGTCTTGCCAAGGGAATGGGAGATAGCAAAAGTTAGCAAGATATCAAAACATGCAAACACCATTGAGAGATGATCCATCTGTACAAGTCTACATGCCTGAGGCACTGACAGAAACACAGGACTTGGCTTGTGTTCTTTGTTTTTCATTCTTTTCAGGGTTTTGTTAAAAAGTAGTATTTTTTTTCTTGTGGTGGTAGGTTTTTAAAAAATAATAATAAAAAAATGGTCTTTAGACAGACTACTGAAAACAACTCTGAGAGTAGAGCACTTTCTTCCTCAAGAGTCACCTTACAGAAGAGTTCAGAAAGGGTCAAATATTGACCAATAAATGGCTTTGTCTGCTTCGTAATCTCAACTGGGGGCTTTTAACAGGGAGACAGGTGTTGGGGAAGCTTCCTCATTCAGCTGGTTTGGTTACCAAGGAGAGCGGCTGGGCCTGCAACATAGCCAGGGCGGCCTGAGAAGACGAAATGGCTGCAAAAGTCGGAGGTGAAGTCAGAAGAGCCGTGGGGGGCATGGAGGTAAAGGGCAGAGCCCTGGAGAGGAGAGGAGACTGGCTGGTGAGGCTTGAGGAAGAGGAAGCAGCCTTGCTGGGCAGGAAAGACGCCGAGTGCAGAGACAGCTGAGCCCTGGCTTCAGGTTTGGTGGTCAAGGAGAGGGGCTGTGCTTGCTCAGAGTGGGTGGCAGCGGGCGCTGCGGGTGATGCCAAGGCAGTGGAAGGGGTGGCTGGAGAATCTAACATGCTGCCATGAGAGGATGCAGGGCTGTCACAGGACTTGTCAGCTGACAGGTATGGCATGCAGGGCTTCTTGCTCTTCGAAGCCATTGGATCTGTTAATAACAAAGAGGGCAAAGGTGTATTGATTCCTTTGTTGTCTCCTACTTTTCACCACACTTGAAATTATCCTAATCTATTTTAATTTCATAAAAGCTGGTTAGGCTAAAAAGAGAGTGGTTAAAGACGGAGCCATAAACTATGCAATTCCAAATCTACCATCCTAATGTAAATGGCAGATGACATTTTCAGCCAAATAGGGAAAGGGCTGAAATGATTAAAAGCAGATTGTTTCCTTGGTTGAAAAATGTATTTATTCTGAAAGCAGCCATTCCCAGTCAGCATTGTAGTTAGGGCCATACCAAAGCCACAGCACCAGAAGTATTATTCTTTTAATGCCGACTGTCTAGAAGCCAGTTTACATTCTCTTTGAATTTTGTTTTTAGGAACCAACAATTTGGGAGTTATATTCTCCTCCTCCCCCCCAATCTATCCCGTCAACATCTATTCTTTTTTTAATCCTTGATGCCATTTTGAAATTCCTACCCAGATTAGGAATTAGGAAACTAGGTTTCTTGATACATTTACACATCACCCAATTAGGAGACACTGCAAGACAAGACAAACAATAGCAATTTTGATCTTGCCCACTTCCTCTCTTTGGGGGGATGGGTAGGTGGGATAATTACACTCGATCAGGACCAGACTGATGGATTAGGACCAGATTGACCAAGTGGCAATGATACATACTTCCTGTTTCCTGGATGTGTTGCTGAGTTTGTTTCTCTCTTTTTCTTTTCTTTTTCTTACCCTGAAAAGGATAAATTTACCGAAAGTCAGAATCATATTGTAAACTTATTTAAAAACTTATGATACTTAGGGAGATAAATGCCATGCAAAACAATTTTATTTGAATAAGTCACTATACTGGACAACAGCATGTGCTTTTTTTTTGTCATTAATGATTTATGGTGAAGAAGACTGCCATAATAAAAAGATGTTCATCCAATTAAATACATATTGCAGAAAGACTATCTAAAAACAGAAACATTTGCTTTCATAAACTCATTTTAAAACCAACTATATAGCTGTTTATAATTATTCACTGAGCAGAAATACATTTTTTGTAAATTAAATTCTCAAGATTAAAAACAGTCTCAAAAGACGTGTATGGAGTGTCAAGAAACAAAAAATGGCAACTCTGGCTGCAAATTTTATTTAGGGAAAAGAAAATAAAAGCACAGAAAATTGGGGGCTTCATAATGAGATGCTCTGAAAAGGTATTATTTGGCAATTCTATTTTATGAGAATTTTATTCTTTATTGACTTTACTGCAGATATGGTGACTATGAAAAATTTCCATTAAGCAACAAATAAAGGCAAATGTTGATAGAGTAAACAAAAATGTTTTCCCAAAAGTGATCAACAGAGTCTTCATCATTGTTTTAAATATCTTAGTTTGCCCAAATAAGGGATTATTAGGATTTGTTCTGAAAAACTGAGTTTTGCACACTATAACCTTATGATTAATTTTAATCAATTCCTACTAGATCCTTCTTCAATCCCCCTTAAATTATTTTAGAAACGCATGGGCAAATATTCACTGAATATTCAGAAGGCAACTGCAGCTAACTCGCTATTCCCTGCTGGAATTGCTTACCTATTCCCAGCTTTTAACATTATTATTTCTTTGTGTTTTCTTCACATACTTCTGGGTGTTTATATAGAAGATGACCAATCTGAGCCCGAGGGAGGGGTCAAACGCATCATAAGTCATGGGTCTCTGCGTACCCACAAGAGATCTAAGTTCAGTCCACACTGAATGTTTTCTTAATTCCTGTTTTTTTCCCTTGACAGTTAATAGCTCAGATTTTTGTAGAGAGCTTAAGCTTGCAATAATTTTGAACTGAACAAATTCAACTAATTTAAACTGCCTAAATCTCCTGATTTCCCCAGCGCTTGATAGTTTACAACTCAACTTTGAAGACAATTCTGAAAAATGAACCATAAATGAAAAAAATATTTAATTGTCTATAGTACAGTGGATTGTGAATCTATAGATGCAGAGTTCAGATCCCAGAATCTGAATGATGATCATGATGATTAGAAGTACCATTATTGAAGCATACACATCTGCAATTATGACTTACATAGTTATCTCGGGCAGACCAAGTAGGGTACAGTTGAGAATGAAGCTGTCGTTCCTTCCGTGCTAACTCATAGTATTTGGCTTGCTCTTCACGGGACAACGAATGCCACTGAAGCACAGAAAAATATATTGTAGTCTGAATATGGAATAAAGCTTTAAATGATGGTTTAAAATTATGGTACTCTTTATACAAAAGAACTCAAATGTTGATTGATTTTATCATTCCGCTTTCAACATCATACTGAGAAAATAACTGAAGGCACATACATATTTGTAGCAACTTAAACCTACAAACAAAGCTTTAACAGCTTAATTCAAGTCAATGTTAAGAAAGTTTTATATTTCTTTTCCTCTTTCCTGATCAACTCCTACCAATCTATGATTGGAAAATTACAATAATGCAGCAACAGGCAACACTAGGCAGAATTACGCAGCCCAGATGTATACAAGAATCACCTGTATGCAACCTGCCAAATCTTGCTAGGCCAGCACATCTTTCTTACCAAAATAAAAACTATTCTGGTGGAATGGAAAAAAAGTTGTTCAATCCTATGGTACACACTCTCTATTATCCATTTTCTTTCTCACGATCCAGCTCTTTTCTATCCCACTTTGCAACCTTGACTCTTGCTCTTATGCATTCTTACCCACCCACTGTATTCTGGCTTTGGAGTTTGATGTTGCTTCAGAATAGACATGTGCCAGAGTTTCTGCCATTTTCTTTTGTTTTTCCTGTTCCTCTAAATGCTTCAGGTCCTCTTTCTCAGCCAACATTCTCTACATCAGTGGTCCCCAACCTTTCTGGCACCGGGGACCAGTTTCATGGAGACAATTTTGAAACAATCCGGAAGGGGGATGGATAGAACCCACACATGCAAATGAAGCTTTGCTCACTCGCCTGCTGCTTGCACGGACTGGTTCCTAGTAAGCCACGGACCAGTACTGGCCCAGGGGTTGAGGACCTCTGCTCTACATCTTTTTCTGAGCCATTTTATATTTGGACTTCTTAACATTCACTCATTCTTGGTTTATCCTCCATCCTCAGTCTATTCAACAAACAAGATACTCTTAAATTCCGAGTTTATAATCCCAGATAACTGACAACCTATTCTATCTGGTCAGAAGATGGACTTTAAACTTTCTTAGAATGGGATTTTGAAACAGCATAAGAACATTAGTCACAACAAGCGAATTTTGAATGTGTCAGTAGCACATGACACAAATGGAGCGGAGAATAAAAAAAGTGTGCTTATACCCGTCTTCCTAGGATCTGGTTGATAGCAGCACTCTCCTTCAACGTACACTCTGCCACAACCTTGGCGCGCATTTCCTTCATGTACAACATGAACGCATTCAGAGGCTTTTTAATATGGGGCTTCTTCTCCTCTTCCTTTTTGACAATAACCGGTGTTTTTCTGGAAGAGCCACATTTTTCATTAGTCCCATAATCCACGTATCTATGCACTCTCTTTCCACCAACAAGGAACAGAAAACATGAGGCACAGTGAAGGATTATTATTTCTAACAAACTCTGTCACTATTAGAAGTGGTTAGCTGCTTAATGAAGTTTTATTTCACACCATGTCTATTTTTATAGTATGCAATATTCCGTACCTTTAACGGCTGATGGAGGAATAAGATACAGTGTATGATGGCTGTTCTCAACAGTTCATAACATAAATGTTATGTGGGTGAAGTGCACTTGTGTAGAACTTGCAATGAAGAGAGTTATCTGCTCTATCCAATTTATCCCAGCCATGTTGCATGTTAACAAAGCCTGATGATATTTTACCTAATTTAAGATGAGTCAACGATTCCAAATTGGTGTCTAGTTCAAGGAAGAGAAAATTGTTGTTTCCATTTGCTTAAACAAGTTAGAAAAAGCATGCAGGGCAGAACTTCTGGATTTCTTTCAAAGTCCTTAATAATAGCTCCATTTTCAGAGTCATGTAACAGACACAGAAGATGTGGGAAGGAAGGGGCCCGCAGCTTATAATCAGAGGCATGAGCAACTATCCCAGCCATTGCCCAACTGCCTTTTCTGCAGGGATGTTGTGGGAAATGTTTTTCTCCACACAGCTGGAGGCTCATCTGACCCTTTTTGAACTTGATCATTGTTTTTCAAGCTTCCCTCCCCTCATGCTAAATCTGGTTCTGTTGTGTTCATTGTGCTAATGCCAGAGCCCTAATCCTTTTGCATTATTTCTTTCCATCTTTTTACTACGTTGAAAGAATAAAAAGAAAAATAATGCATTCCAAAAATATTCATTAAATTAGTTGGAAGAATTTTATAGTGCACAGTAAGGTTGCATTATCATGAATTTGCGAGGACATACATGTATCCAAGTACATTGTAAAACATGTTAAGAAATAATAAATGGATAGCAACTGTTTCCCTATTAGACATTCCACCAACGAAGGCATTCAGGCAGCAGCCAGCTAACCTATTACTTACGAGCTTCCTTCAGGACTCAGGCTGGGCAAGGTCGGCTCTTGTTTAACAATAGGTGACACGATGGTGGGGTGTGGGATTCCTGAGGGATGAATTCCATGTGCAGGAGGAGGAACCATATGAGGGGAAAACCTGCTAGACATCAAGCTGAAGCACAAAGGTTGTATGCTGAAAACAAATGCTTCTCACAACTATTTTCATCATTATGGATCATCTATTTATTATTTCTTCATACTCCTTCTACTTTTTCTATTTCTTTGGCATCTTGCCAGAGCACCCAAAGGAACAGTAAAAACCTAAGGTCAATGGCAATAACAGAAGGCCAACTTATGAATAACCAATTTATTGCATTAACTGCTAAGGCAGAGAGAACTACATGGACAGATTCTGGTTCTCTTGTGTATAATCCACATATTTTAAAAAAAAATTAAAGAGAAGAGATGCCTATTTTTATTCCTTATTAGAAATTTCTATTCATTCTCCTTTTCGGACTTCTGTCGATTAGAAGTCAATTTCTCAAAAATGAGATCCAAAATGGCAAATTATTGATTTACTACCTTTCCCCAAATCAAGTCATACAGGAGAGTTTCATTTCCTTATTTTATCCCTGCAATAACAACATCGTGATGTGGATTGGACTAAGACTGGCACATCCGGGTCACCAAATTAGTTATGTAGTCAAATGGGTATATGAACCAAATCTAGCACCTTAACTGTAGAGACTCTCAACTGTAGAGAAATCAGAAATCATGAAGGTGAAAAATGGCAACAGCATAACCAGAATGAAGATTATATAAACCATCAATGTGGCATAAATGCCCTTCCACGTGTGTTCTATGGAATCTTTAATGGTTCTTTGATGGAGGTCCCATGAAAAAATAAAGCCCCCAGCCAAAAAGTTCACTTGAACATAGCCACTTTTCTAATAACAGAACTTTTACTCTTGATCAGGGGTTCAAGGATTTGTTCTTTAAAAAATATAGGTTTTAAAAAAATAATACGTTTAAAGTTTTCAAAACCCCTGTTTTAGACAGTACTAATTACTAATTTATTTCAGTAAATTTCTTTCCCTTAAGTTTGCTTCTAATGAGTAAACTATAGCAATTCAAGTATCAATAAGCTGTTCATTTGGTATCCCCTTTAGATACAGTGACAGTTAACTTGCTATCTGGCCCACATCAGGTCAGATTGCATGTTGCCTTTACACAAATGCCTACTTCTTTCATGAAAATGAATATCTCCAGATATGTAAGGTGTAAGACATAAAGCATTTAGAATTTCTGAGATAACAGAATGAGATAACAGATGGGTGTGTGAGTTCTTGACCCTAGTTTAACACAGGATGCACAGATACAGTTTTGCTAGTTCAGAGATAATTAGACCCAGATTCCCACTTGAACGCACCTGGACATTGAGGCATTCATGGCCAAGGCAGGATATGGATGTCTAAACCCACCTGGAGGAATGGAATACACTGGCTGCCCTTGCCTAAAATGGACAAGACAAATTCTCCTTGTTACAATTGCCAACAAATATATTTTTTATCCCAAATTACAAAACTAATCACTTGACTGCTAATATTGTAGGTTTCTAGAAATTATAAAACATTCAGTGCTATATAGCCTTTATTTTTCTATGACTTCACTGAACATACATGGAATATATTATAAAGTATATTTACCTCCTGAGAATCACTTTTTTTTTTTTTAAAAGCAATATTTGCAAATATCTGTTGCCATTAGTTCATGCTGCAGACCTTCATCACCAAACCCAGATTCCCATTCCTTGACCAATTTCCCCCATAACTATCTTCTCTTGGTAAAATCCCAGATCACGTAAACATTATCTTAGAAAGAAAATCCACAAGATATCATTTGTAGAAACCATGCATAGTTCAATAGTGCAGTTTTAAAGCCATCTTTCAATTTAAAGGCTTTCTATATACAGTATAAGATATCCAGTGCATATAAGTTTAGTCTCTCCATTCAGTGCATCATAGATCCCTTTGAAGACCATCCACAAACTTCAACTGGGCCAGAATATAGCACTATGAACAGTGATGTTCAAGTCTTGGTATGCCCATGTAACTTCTGCCTCTGCTTTGTGAGCTGCAATGGTTGCGGTTTGTTTCTGGGTGAAATTTAAGGTGCTAGTTGTTACCTATAAAGCCCTATATTCAAAGGACCGGATTACTTCAGGGAACACCTGTCTCCCATAACATCTGCCTGACCTATTTGATCCTGTAGGATTTTTTCAATTAAACAATGTCATATATTGGGTATAGGTATGCAGAAGAATACCTTCACTGTAACAGTGCTTGCTCTCAGGAATGAGGTGTCCCACCACCACCACCAAAATTTATTGTTTACAAGAACTGTGAAACGGACGTTGTCTTACCTGAACGTCCCTTATATGCGCGCTGCTGGAGAATCCAAAGCGTGGGTTATTCTTTGTCTATTTGCAAGAGACTGAGTGTGTATTTCTTTAAATTTCCTTGACCAGGCCTCCTCCGCTCGGCTGAGCTCCATTTTGTTCACAAAGGCGTAGATGATGAGACTGTGTGAAGAGATCCACCCGGGCCTGAGAGACAGAAGCCTAATAGGGTGGGTTGGATTCTCCAGCAGCGTGCATAGAAGGGACATTCAGGTAAGACAACGTCTGTTCTCCAGCGCGCTGTTTGGAAAATACAAAGCGTGGGATATACCCAAACTAGTGAAATGATGGGTGGGAGGCTCCCGGGTGGCATTAGTAGAGTGGACCATCTGCAGCATGCGCCATCCGAAGGATGCCTCAGCCGAGGCAAAGGAGTCGACTTTGTAGTGGCGGATAAATGGTGTCAAGGAAGTCCAGGTGGCCGCCCTGGAAATGTCACTAACAGAAGCTTGGGTGGCCCATGCAGCGGTGGTAGCTGCGCTTCTAATTGAGTGAGCCAAAATTTTCCCCGGTAAGGGTTTTTTCTTAAGTGCATACGCCTTTGCAATGCACGCCATTAGCCAGCAACTGATGGTGGAAGAGGATACTTTCTTGCCCAATGACGACGGGTGGAAAGAAAGGAACAGGGCCTCTGATTTATGGAAAGGTGCCGTCCTTTTAATGTACCTGCGGAGGGCCCTCCTAACGTCCATGGTGTGCCATTGTTCTTCCAAAGGTTGTCTCGGGTCCGGACAGAAGTCCAGTAGAATAAGCTCCTGAGTGCAATGATACCAGGAGTTTACCTTGGGCAGAAAGGAGTGATCCATCCCCAGGACCACTCTGTTTGAATGGAAGATACAGAGATCTTCCCGCACTGACAGTGCTGATATCTCTGAATCCCGTTTGGCTGAGGTTATCGCCACCAGGAAGGCGACCTTAAGAGTCAGGAGTCTGAGGCTCATGGATCCCAATGGTTCAAAGGGGGAAGACATGACTGCCTGAAGGACCAAGGAAAGGTCCCATGTGGGATACTGATGTACGACCGGGGGTTGGAGATTAGCTGCCCCCTTAAGAAAACTCCAAATCCTTGAGTGTTGAGTAAGAAGATGATCATCATCACCAGACAGAACAGTATGCAAGGCCGTAACTTGCCGTCGAAGGGTGTTGGGGGCCAGTCCTTTGTCTAAACTCTCTTGCAAAAATTCAAGAATCTCAGACACTGACGCTGGTCAGGTCAATATGCGCCTTAGAACACCAAAGACCGAACGATCTCCAGGTGGCATTGTAAATCTGGTTCACTGACACACATCTGGAAGCCTGTATACTATGTATCATCCTCCCTGAGAGACTGTCCTTCCTCAGGAGGATCCTCTCAAGTGCCAGACAGTCAACTGGAGCCATTGAGGCTCCGGATGCAGAATGACCCCCTGGCTGAGAGAAATCATGTCTCGGGGAATCCTCCAGGGACGGGCCACAGACAGGGTCACCAGATCCGCGTACCAGGGTCACCATGACCAGCAAGACTTCTGCTCCTTCTGCTAACACCTTGTAAATCACTCTCGGAATGAGTGGAAGGGGTGGGAAGGCGTAGAGCAGTCCCCGAGGCCAGGGGCAGTGGAGAGCGTTGCATCCTTCGGCCCCTGGCCACGGGAACCAGGCAAAGAACCTTGGTAGTTGTGTATTCTTTGGGTGCACAAAGAGATCGAGAATTGGATGTCTGGACTTCTGCTACAGCTCTTGCAAAAGAGAAGGATGGAGATGCCACTCCAACTGATCTATCTGAGTCCTGCTCAACCAAACTACCTGGATATTGGTTGATCCGAAGATGTGCTCCGCCTTGAGGGAGATTGTGTGCATCTTTGCCCAGGTTAGCATCTTTGCTGTCTCGTCCATGAGTGATTTGGAGCGAGTGCCCCCTTCTCGGTTCACATGCACTTTTGTGATCACATTGTCCGCTAGCACTAGCACATGGTGGCCTGCCACGGCGGACTGGAAGTGACATAGGGCAAGATAGACTGCCCGTAGCTCCAACCAGTTAATATCATTCGTTAGGTCCGCCGGAGACCAACGTCCTTGGGCAACCCTGGAGAGAAGATGAGCGTCCCAGCCAAACATGCTCGCATCTGTTGTGACTGTGATGCGCCGGGGCTCTTGGAAAAAACACCCCTTCTCTATGGACAGTCCACCTGTCCAGCGAAAGGACAGGCGGACTGTTGCCAGGAGATGCACCTTGGCCCTGGAATTGCTGCGGCATGTTGGAGCCGACGTAAGGTTCCACTTAGATTTGATATCCACCCTCCAATGACGTAATCATAGGGGGCGTCAAGATGTTAAAGTGGAAGCTAGGGCTTGAGAAGCAAATTTCGCCACATCTAAAGATGTGTCTACAGAATATTCAGTGGCTGCCACCAATTTATTAATGTCCTGGTGTAGTCTAGTGTCATCTGGCAGCAGCCGTTCCTGTAGTTGGCGCAGCCATATCAATGATGCCCGATTAAAGAAGGACGCCGATGTAACGACTTTAATGGCCCAAGCTTGATGAGTTTTACGGAAGGAGAGTTCTGCCTGCCTGTCCTCCATCCTCAATCTGTCCACTATGTCATTGGAGAGGACAGAGGAGGAAGTCAAGCTAGCCACCAGGGCATCTATAGTAGACAACTGAAGTAAATCCTGAAGATTTGGAGCGGAACAATAAAGTTTTTTGTCATGACCATTTGGTGCCACTAGGGAATAGGGTTGGTTCCATGGTCTTTGTATCACCTCCGTGAAACGCTGGGGGCAAGGAATAAACTGCTCGGTTTTAGGAAGTGTAAACAGTTCATCATGAGGATGGGATGCCCCTTGTTGGTCAGACTGGCCCTCTGATACTCCAATATTAGTCGTTATTTTGGCCTTATGAAGTAAGGACTTGAAGATGGAGGAATGGAAGAGACCTGTAAAAGTCAGTCTATCAGGTAACATCCCATCGTCATTGGAGAATTCCATGTCTCTCTGGTCATCATCATCCAACAAGGAATCCTCACTATGAATGGAATCCTACTGGCATGAGTAATCAGAATTTGGATCCACATATGTCGGGACCTGCAACTGAGAAATAGCCGGCAAGGAAGAAAACTGGGCTACTTGGTGAGCTGCAGCTGTTAGAATTTTCGATATTGTCTCAGATACTAGGGTCTGAACGTTGAAAGAAAGACCCAGCTGTAGCCCCTCCCCGGCATGGAGCCCCGCCGCGGTAGGGGTAAATGTCGCTTTAGGGGGAGGACGTCTCGTAGATGGAGATACGTGAATCTCAACCTCTATACATGCGGGCAAAACTGCAGGATCCCCTTGAGGACCCCCAATCACTGGTCGTTAGGGGACACCAGCTCCTGAGGCACGAGTCTGGGAATCCTCTGTCAAAGGCTGAGGACCCTTATTGGAGCGAGGTGCAGGTGTTTCAGATGCAGATGCCATCTGATCACCTGTGGCCCAGGCCTTCTGTTGAGCCAAGGCAAAGTGTCTCTCTAAACCTTATGTCATCTCTTAGCATCCTTGTCATCATCAGACGACCGTTTTGATGGCCGAGAAGCTGAAGGCCTGTAGTTTGCCTGGTGCGTTTTGTAGCACCCTTGGAAACAGGCTTTGCCTGCTTACGGGCCTTGGGTGGATGGGGGCTGTAGTCTTGTTCAAGATATCTATCTATCTATCTATCTATCTATCTATCTATCTATCTATCTATCATCTATCTATCTATCTATCTATCTATCTATCTATCATCTATCTATCTATCTATCTATCTATCTATCTATCTATCTATCTATCTATCTATCTATCCAGCCCCAGTTCACCCTACCATAGGCCTTGACAATAAATCCGGCGCGCAGTACAAAAAAAGTCCAGTCAGCGTCTAAGTGGCTGGCAGCCAATGCAGGTTGGCGCCATATTGTGTTGTGGCCCGTCAGGGGCCTGTAAAGATTGTAGCTGATTCCAATGAGGAGGCTGGTGTGGTGCTGAGCCAGCAGCCTGTGCAGCTGGCGCTCGAGTCGGATAGTGAGGAGGCTGGAGAAAATGTGGTGCCAGAGGCAGGGATTCAGCCA